CAATGAAGATATTTTCTGGATACTTTGATCCAAAATTAAAAGAAGAACTAAAAAAATAAGCTCCAAACATTTTACATATTAATAAAATGCAGAAACCCTTTAGTGAAATCCAATATAAATGTAAATCAAATGAAAAACATTTTCACTACCCCAGAACAGCCATGTTTTCCTTATGAAAAAGCAAAGGCTATTCAGAACAACAACATAAATCAAAGGGAAAGAAAAAAAAACAGATAAAGTCTAGCAGGAGGTTAAAATAAATCAGCAGGTCAACTTTTAAAGATAAAAAGCAAAATAAAACAAAACTTTGAAACCCAGTCACACTTAAGTAAATGAACTGCTGAGAAGAAAGATGGATGTCCATGACTTTCTGACCACTCCCAGAGGGACCTGAAAACTTTAAGACTCCTCTGTCCAGGTGGACCATCTGAAAGGTATCTTGGATCATTCCAGTCAAATCCAGGGAGCACTACTGTCAAGGAACCAGCTTTGGCAGTAAAATCGGCAGATCATCGGACGGAGAAAGAAAAGTTCCTATCATCTTGGTGAGGATGGCTTGCTATGTTACTTTTAATCTGCTCAAAGACTATTGACTATCTTTCAAGTTTACTAACAAGTTTAAAATATATTTATAGAGTAAATTATGTTATGAAAATTTTCTATTCTACACAATATTCATACATAATATTAATTTTATAGTTGTAAGTAAATCAATTTTAATAGCAGTAAGCAAGTTTTCTTCATAGATCTATATTAGGGGTGTCAAACTGCCAGCCTGCGGGCGGATGCATCATACCGAAACCGTGCTCACCCCATTGCCAGCATGGAGAGTCACAATATGTCATGACACATCATGTGACATTGTGAGTTTGACACCCCTGATCTACATAGTTATGTTCCTCTGTTCTGTGTCCCTTTAAATTTCCCAGTTCAAATGAACAAGCAACAGGATAAGATTATCACATAGAAAGCAAGTGCAAATCAACAAAAATATTAACCTCATGAAGCATTAGATAAAAATAAGGAATTAAATTACTTCAAGTGATATTAAGTGGAGATAGAAAAAGGCTAAAAAGCTTTACAAAATTCTAGCTGGTTATCTGATTAATTTTTCTAATCTACAAATATATTTGATTCCTGATAGAGTACAGAGAAATTACAAGTACAGTTCTGTTAAATTTAAGAACTAAAGCAATAATATAGTCTTCTAGGTAGAAAGACACTTTGCTGATTAATTTAAAAGGCTGTAATTATTCAATAAATGATTTTATGTTGTCTGCACATTCTTCATTAAGGAACTTTGGGGTGTATATTTCATTGTCAGCACTAAAGAAAGCAACTTTTTCAAATGTCTTAAAGAATCTGGAATATGCCATAATGAGGTAAAACAAACTACAGTATGTGCGGCATAAAGCTGTATGTGTTAAAATTTCAGGCAAGCAATGTGATTCAGTTAAGGTATAGAAACTAAATAAAAGTATGCATAGAAAGGTCATCCAGAACATTCACATTGAACAGTTCATTATTATTATTTAATTTGCATTGAAAAATTAATAATTCAGCCATGTGTAATGTTTCCCAATTTTGAAACTTGGGATATTTCATAGCATCCCTCCTCACTGGAGCATTTCAGATGTACTAGACTTCAACTTCCATAATCCTTTAGCCACTCCAGATTGGGGAAGGCTGCTATACACATAGCTGGGTTCAGATACAAATCAGATATAAAGAACAAAAAATATAAGAGCTTTCAGGGAAATGTGCTTTCATAATTTCCCTGCAACTTGAAATTTAAATAAAGCATGGTTCACAATATTAGGAAACTTGTTGATATGAATATCTGGCCCTAAATTTTACAGATTGTAGAAATTATTTAAATATATTCACTAAATTTGATGATTACTTATAGGTTTATAATTTCCTGTTCCATCAAAATGAAAATAATAGTGATGGTTTTATAAAGGCCAATTTCATGACTTGGGAGGCATGTGCGGCTTTGATCAGTAACTCAAAACTTCTATAGGCACTGAAAATTGTATATGCTCGCATCACATTCTTTCAAAGGGCCTCAATATTTTCATTAAGGAGCAATCTAAACAGTCTATTAAGTGTAATGAGCAGTGAAATTGTTCATTGGAAATAGCATCTTTGAGCCTTCAATTCCAGCCTAGGAACAATTTTTCACGCTGATTTCCACTCTATTTGAAGGCAGATAATTCTCACATGTCCTTTCCCAACAGTTATCATCTTGAGAGCTTTTTTCTGGCGCTATCACTCTACAGTGGTCCTTTATATGTCCAGCTTGCAGGGAAATTATGAAAGCACATTTCCCTGAAAGCTCTTATATTTTTTGCTCTCTATATTGAGATGTTAGAAGCAGGTAAACAAAAGAAGTAAGGGAGAACTTATCTAACACTGAAGACAATGAAAACTTTTAAGGAATATATAATAAGTAATTATAATCCTGATTGAGAGCTTGTGAGGTATGTGTAATCACCAGGCAAGAATTGAAACTGGTTGACATTCATTGTTGGTCCACCAACTGAACAATGCAAGTTAGAATTGCTGGCTTCTTGCCAGTTATGAAGGGCAAGTATGAGAATGTCATTGCCTAATTGGAAGTAGCCCCAAACTACTTTGTAAGGAAGTGCTTAAACCTTCCAACAGGGTTCCCACACTGCCTATTTAAGAACTGAGGTAGAACTTCCCTCCATCGCTATTAGACTGCATAAGAAACTAGAAAGCCTTCAAGTTTCCCATCTTGCCAAACTTTGTTTTCTTCGTCACACAGGTAGGAACCAATGATGAAACTTTTGTTACCTGTTTTCCAAATGTATTCCTTACCACTTTGGAGAAAACTTAGATTTTGGAATACAGAAAATACTACAGATTGGCTTTTTGAAGGGATGCAATTAAAGATGGTATTGTACTGCAATCATCCAAATTTTTTATTTTGGTATTATTATAATGGTCAACATCCATTTACCTTGAAAACATCAATGGGAAGAGATACAAAGGGAGCAGATTAGTATCTCATAATATAAGCTTCAGACAGTTAAAGCCAAGTTGATGAAAGGAGCAAGTGATTTAAACAAATTAATTAGTGTCTTTTAATGGTGTGTCCCTTCTCTTTGTTCATAGGGTTGTCTTTCTATAAGAGGTGTTATGCCATTTACTATATGAATCACCATCAACCTCTTGTAAAACATACGGAAAGACGATGCCTGACATTTTTCAAAGTCACAGGAGAAGATTATACTTCTCATTAAGCTTAGTGGCTGATTTAAAAATTGGAACTATTATCTTTCCTTCATAGAACATGCACTCTATTATTAGATGAAAGCAGACAGAAAGTTGGATTGCCAACACTGGTGTAGAGGAGATACAAGGTTGTTTCTTTGTAAGCTTTGAATATGTAAAGAATGACACCCAATGAGGTGCAAAATAACTTGTTCTTGAAGAGAGATCACTGGCTGTCCATTAGCGTGTCTGCAAATGTTAATGTATATTTCTCAGCAAGGTTTATTTATTATAGGCCATGATTTTTGTGTGTCTCCATTATAGTAATATGCTGAGTGCCTGAATTTCTTATCCTTCTCATTTTTGTGATTTGTATCTGAACCCAGCTATGTGTATAGCAGCCTTCCCCAATCTGGAGTGGCTAAAGGATTATGGAAGTTGAAGTCTAGTACATCTGAAATGCTCCAGTGAGGAGGGATGCTATGAAATATCCCAAATTTCAAAATTGGGAAACATTACACATGGCTGAATTATTAATTTTTCAATACAAATTAAATAATAATAATGCTCTGGATGACTTTTCAGTTATTGATGAACAAGAACTTTTCCAGTTGGAACAGAATGAAGAAAATTATGGTTTATGCTTAATCACAGAAGTTTCAGGGCAATAGATTTAACTAAGCAATTTTTCCCTCAAAGATTTTCTTGTGGATTATATGTGATCATGATATGCACAAATGTAATCCAAAAATAGTCTGGTGAAAAGACCAAGGAATTTTTCCACAAGCTACTTAGTTTTTGTATGACACTCCAAAACTTGGATGCATCAAGAGTTTTGCAAAAGCAATTACATAATATAAAGCTCAATCTGAGCACTATACCCTAAATAAGAACTGACTTTCAAAATACGTTTTTGTTTTGTTTTTCCAGGTTAGACTCATTGGACTCACAGTATCAATCTCCTTAATACAGATTATAAATCAGAAGAAACCTTATAATCATCTCATTCAAACCTCTTGCTCAAAACTGGACTCCACTGAACATCCTATAGAAGTGACTATACACCTTCTGTTTGAAAATCTCCAGGAAGAATGGTGGGGCAATGCTTCTTCCACAGAAATATGCAGCATACTTTAATTTTCTAGGCCAATTTTCAACATTATGATATTGTGAGGCCAAAGTTCTAAAGCTTTCAAACCGGCCTTCTTTCTATACCTACACTGAAGAAGTATATCATGTTTCTTTAATTTTCTGACACTTTTTAACTCTTTTGGGTTGGTGTGACTTAAATAAATTACTTTGTGAACTATTGTTCAATTACCAAACAGACTAATTCATGAACTACCATCCAATCTATTCCATAGACTTAAGACTGACAATTTAGTGCTAAATTGGTCAGTGAAGATCTAGTCCTATAGACATGGGAAGCAGTTAGAAAAGGATTGATTGTAAGGCACACGATCTGCTATTAAGTCATATTGTTAGCAATGACCATAACCTGCCCTAAATTCTTGGCCATTTAGGGCTTATACCTGAAGATTAAGATCAACTTTCTATTAGCTAAAAACTATCACTGAGCAGTGTTGTAGAAAGCATCGTGCTTTGGATAGATTTAATACTTTCCTACTGTAAAAGAACAATTTCTCTAACAGATTATCTATCATCAGCTCTTTCAAGTTTAGACAAGACACAGAAAACATCCCTGGTAGGGAATAATCATATTTTTTCTACTCTCTAAAGACTTAGTCACATAACACCAAAACAGTTTCAATTATTTATTAAAATACAATGACTGTGCAGCTGTGCTTCTTACATAAGAGACAAAGGGAATGTTATAAAGGGAAAAAGTAGTGTAAAAATTTTTTGAGACTTTATCTGGTTTCACAAGTAAAAATAAAGACCACCTACAGGGTGGTTTTGGAGTTTTTTTGCAATTCTATCCCAATCATTTATGAAAATATTATGCCAATGTTATTTTTTTAAAAAAAATATGCAGGGAGACAATTGGGTAAATTATGTTTGCTTAAGGATATAACATATTAGTATTGTTAACCATTGTGTAATCTTAGAAAATTATTGGAAACCTGAAAAATAACTTTATTCATTCTACACAACAAACAAATATACATAGAATGTTGTCCTTTAGATTACCATATTATTTTCAGTTAAGCTATCAATGTAATGCATTTCAGTATCTATTTTGGTTGTTCTAGAACCAGAACTAGAAGTCATAATTTATTTTAGAATTGAAAATGTAGATTAATGAACATGAGATTTGAAAATAATACCCTAAAAAAGCAGCATTCTATTTAGCAGCTTTGCAGTAAAGAGCTTGTACTTTACCTTCATGGAAAAGCCAAGCTAGGTGCATTGCTAGGTGCATGCTACATCCATGCCACAGTCCTCTGCCCCTAAACAACATTCCCAGACTGACATTTCTGCACATGCAAAGTCTCTCTGCTTATGACACTTAAACCATATTTTCATATTAGTAGTTACAATATATTGCATATCTCTTCAATTCAAATGAACACTGCTACCAGCTAAAGAACATTTTAATAATGTAATAAGTTACCCTCACGAAATGACAACTAGCAATTATTTTCTATTGTCCAAACTAATTCCTAGTCCCTCATTTCTTTAAATTAGACATAACATTTTAATTAAAATGAGCAAAATGTCATTTATAATATATTGTTTGGCTCTATTTTATTAATACACAATCTTAATTCTATTAATACAATGGATGTTTACTGAACTACAGTGAAACTACAGGAAGTTATTTATTTACAAGCACCTATTATCTGACCTTAATTGGAAGCCATCATCAGTCTTTAGAAATTGCTTTTGAAAATACATTCAGGTTTAATGAACAGTTCAAACAAGCAGCAATGGAAAATAATTGCCGCATGTAGCTATGACTAATAGAACAAGTGAACTTCATTTCAGCTGCTATCCTGCCATAAAAAATTAAGTCAGATTTCCTGACTATTTCTGTTATTGATCAGATGCAACTTTGGTTCAAATATTTATCTTAATGTTTTAAAGCACCTGATGGCAAACATGCATAGTTGTTCCTGTCATTCAGAACTGCAGGATAATACTGAAAAACATTGTAATGTTTTACTTTATAGATACATTTATAGAAAATCCAAGCTTCACAAATGTGGAATAAACCCAGAATTGTGGAGTAGACCCAAATTAAAACTGTCCAGAAGCTCTGTATCAGAGTGATAGTACTATGCTAATAGTACTCAGGCATGTATTTAAAAAAAGAAGCAAAAATGGATTTTCATAATCAAACTATTTCTCAACTCCAGATAAGAAATGAAAAAAAAAATGAACTAGAGAAATACTATTAACACTGCAGTGGCAAAGTTTCTTCAGGGGATAAGGCAGCATGTTTTCTCTCTTAAAAATAAATGCCTTGCTTAGTGCTTTTGCTGATATATTGTGTATGAGTCTGTAGAGTTCATTTTGTAATCCAGTTTGGAAGTTATTGCCTTCTCCAAGATTACCTAATAAATTGCTTGCAATTTATGTTATCATCATAACCTCAGAGTTCAAATCACTCATGGGTTTCAGCAGTATGGCTTGTAAAACTTTATGATAGCAAAGCATCCTCCATCCAAAATCAATCAAGATTAGAATGAGATAATGTATGTGTTAGGTTATTTCATGAATTTGCAGAGCTTAAGCCAGATGTCTATGGAGATCCAGGACAGAAATTGAAAACATTTTGTTTCTCATATAAGAAGCTTCTTCAATTCTTCAGAAGTCCAGCTGTCTTTTGGGACAGCTTAAGCCAGAGTTACATCTGAGTTCCAAGTGCTTGCAAGGAAAACATGAGTGCTAAAATTTTGGATTAAATGTTCATCAGGAAAAGCTTTTAGGACTTTTAGGACAAATTTATTTCATCTATTTCTTTAGCGCATCAATTTATGAATTTTTAATTCTTATATGGGAGAAAGATTGATACATTTTTATACTCGTATTTTGCTATTTGGATCATACTTTGTGCAGGTTGTTTGCTGTTCAACTAATTTTAATGAGATCCTGATAATTACTTTGTTCTTTTTGTTTACTGTTACCATACTATTAGTAGAATAAAATATTATGCGCCCGTTCCAAGCCTCCCATTCAATTTTCCTAAAAACCATTCATTTACAATATTGAATACAATGAAGTAGTTATGCTGACAGAGCTTTTGCAAAGTTCACATAGTAATCCAAATTATTTTATGCAGTTAAAATCTGGCAGATGCGTACATTTGTCAGTCGTTAGTTTTAAAGTACGTGTAGAACTTTGCAAGGTAAAAACCGTAATACTTGATCAGATTTATGGAAAAACTCAGGGGATTGTGCAAACATTGATTGAACATGCTGGATGGTAGCAATATGTTTGAATTCTAAATATTGTAGTCCCATATGTGCATATGTAAGAAGGCACTTGTCTTCTTATGGCTTGGGTCAGATAAGGCCTTGCCAAAAATGGCACTACTGATACTATGGAAGCAGAACCAAACCCTGAAGCTTTGTATTGCATCATCCAAGTCTGCTAGGAGAAGTTGAGAGATATTCTAAAGTACAATAAAACTCAGAATAAATTCCAATAGTTTTTGCCGATTACAATGAGGTAGAAAAGTACTGTTTAGTTCTAAAATACTCTCTCTCTTCTGTTTTGTCTCCTTAAATACCTGCAAGGAAAACAGGTTTTTCTTAGTAACTTCTAGGCACATTGCATATTTGTTAACAATCATAATATGCATTAATTCTATATATAGGTAACATAGACAGTCAACGATTCTGGAAAACTAAAACTTTTGTTTAATTTTAGTGCCAAAATATCAGCTCTTGATCAAATCAGAGAACTGTGAGCTGTTCTTGGCCTTGCAAATGAAGGAAAAGATACATGTCCCAGGATAATACTGCAGGATCTAATCTGAGTTGGTCACCGAGACCCAAGGTTTATCCTTCCACAAGCTTTTGGGCTTGTGCTGGAGCCCATCATCAGGAAACTTCTGTCTCTACACAATAGGTCATATTCTGGAATGTGAATATAACATTCTGGAGAGAGAAAAGATCCCTGATGATGGGCTTCAGCACAAGCCCGAAAGCTTGGAAGGATAAACTTTTGGTCCCAGTGACTGACTCAGATTGGATCCTATTCTTGGCCTGACTGAAATAGCAAAAGAAGTTGTAACCGGAGATAATATCGGATAAGCAAACCCTTATTCTAACACAGTTATCAATGTATGTTACATTTAGCTATATGTTTTTAAAAGTTTTTTACATTCTATCATTCAAAAATAAAACATTTCATTTTTTATCCTGTTAATTAATTGCTGAATATTTTCCAAATACGTGGCCACTTAATCTAACAAACATATTCAGAGACACAGTAATAATTTGATTTAGTATAATTTAGATAATTTAAGTTAATTTCTTGAATTAACAAGAGTACAGAGGTTGGAACATGATGGTTACAGCAACATGTGTCTACATGTCTTCAAAATTAATTTTAAAAAATGAAATGGACAAAGTGTTACAAGATCATCACATTTAATGAGAAGTTAGTGTTCCTGCATGAGCTCACAAGACAGTAGGCACTCCTATGCAAGATCATGCAAGAGCTCAGGAAAATTCAAATTTCTCAAATGCTGCCAAACTTTGGGGTGATTTATTTTAGAGGAACCGATACTACAGATGTGATGATGTTTACTACCTGAAAAGATTGCTGCCCTTTGTTATTTTGATGATTTTACACTGTAATCTCAGATTAAGAATGAAGACATTAGGAACTAACCAATATTGGATATTTTTCTGTTTTTCCATTTTATTCTTGTTGATAAAACAACATATACAGAGAGAGAGAGAGAGAGAGAGAGAGAGAGAGAGAGAGAGAGAGAGAGAGAGAGAAAGAGAATGTGTGTATGTGTGTGTGTGTATATGTATATGTATGTATGTATATGTTTTCTGAGGTTTTCACGGGTGTTTGTATGTAGGTCTTTGGTAGTTCGGGTTTTCTCCCGCGTAAAATTGGAAGTGTCTTGGCGACGTTTCGACGAAGTCCCATTCGTCATCTTCAGGCTGGTGTTTTCAGCTTCGTGCTTCTAGAAGCAATGTGTAGACCACACATTCCTTCTCGAAGCACAAAGCTGAAAATAGCAAGGCAGCCCAAAATCTTAAACCCCTCTGCAACTCAGACTAACCTGAGCACAACCAAACAGAACACTCCCCCAGCCAATCAGAGCACAGCCAACCCCCCAGCCAATCAGAGCACAGCCAACCCCCCAGCCAATCCACAGCCAAGCCCCTAACCAATCAGAACACACCTCCACCCAATCAGAACACAGCCAAGCTCCCACCCAATCAGTTCATACCCCCACTGGCAGTTAAAAGGAAGAAACAGCTAAGACCACACATTGCTGCTCGAAGCACGAAGCTGAAAACACCAGCCTGAAGATGACGAATGGGACTTCGTCGAAACGTCGCCAAGACACTTCCAATTTTACGCGGGAGAAAACCCGAACAACCAAAGACCTACATACAAACACCCGCGAAAACCTCAGAAAACAAATATATATATATATATATATATATATATTTGTTTTCTGAGGTTTTCGCGGGTATTTGTATGTAGGTCTTTGGTTATTCGGGTTTTGTCCCGTGTGTGTGTGTGTGTGTGTGTGTGTGTGTGTGTGTATGTATATGTGTGTGATGCAATCTTCGATCTCCGGGAACAGTATACTCCAGTTATTTATTGTTAAAACCACATTTAAAACAATAAAAACAGTTATATACAAAAATTAAAACAACTTAGCTTTCGCTGGTCCTCTGCCAGCGTCCTCAGAGTGGGGCTTAGGGGGTGAGAAGTCCTTTTTATCCCCTTGCTGATCCAATTGCCTACTCATTGCCCTCGTGACAGGGCCACTCTTCCTGATTGCCTGTGACAGCCTTGCCTGTTCCCCCCTCTCTTTTTTGCACTCTAACATTGTATTTTCCTGCTTTGTCATCCTTGTGCTGTCTCCCCCTCCCTGTGCTGTTATCAGTAGCACGCTCCTGGGCTGCTGATCTGCCTGACGTTTTTGCATACCATTGCCAGTTCCTATTACCAGGAAGGCCTGGTTCTCCAACACAGACTCCATCAACCGATGTATAGAACTGCCCCCGGCGTACCAGGCACTAAGAGTGCAGGAAGAGCATGTCAAGAGACGGATGCCAATTGTCAGAGGCGAAACCAGGACTGGTGGGGGGGGGGGTATTCACTACATGACTAGACACAGGGAGGACCCATAGACACATCACAGGTGGGGACAGATGAGGGAATATTAGGGTCACAGATAGGTAAGGGTAGTAAAGGAAGAGGAGGTGGATATGATGGAGGATTGCAAGGAGAGGGGGGCTAGGGAAGACTCTTGGGAACATCGGAATTGATCGTACGGCCCAGAATACGGGGGAGGGGTATGCCCGACCCCAGGGGACTGATCAAAAGAGAGGGGGAGAGAGAAAAGAACAGAAAAGATGAGGCACGTAAGATTGGAAGCATATTCACGGGTGGAGAGGGGATATTTGAGAAGGGAGTAAGAATGGAGGAGAATAGTCAGGAACAGCAGGTAGAGCTGCAGATTAGAGGGGGGGAGGAAACAGGAGAGAGTGGAGTTGATAGGTATGGAAAAGGGCAGGCAGGAATAATAGATAGGAAAGCAGTTTGGGGGGGGGAAAGTTTGGGAAGGAGAGTCTAATAGGAACACAGGTCGGTAGATGGGAACAGTACGTAGGACAGCAGGCAAGGGAAGGAAGAATGCTGGAAGAAACAGCAAACAGAGCAGTGGATTGGAGAGGGGGGGACTGATAGGAAAGGAGAAGGGCAGATAAGAATAGAAGGCAGGACGGCAGATTGGGGGGGAGGAAAGCTTAAGAAGGAGGGTTTAACAGGAATGGATGTTGGCATGTGGGAACATGTAGAATGGCAGGTCAGAGGAGGAGGAATGCTAGAAAAGAGAGGATGTACAGAAATGGATGAACAACAGGCAAGTCAGCAGATGATGGGGAAGATATTGGAGAGGGGAAGATGGACAGTGGGGGAGGAGGGTAAACAGGAACAGCAGGTAGAGCAGCGGATCAGGAAGGAAAAGATATTGAGGAAGAGAACATCAATAAGAATGGTTGATGAAAGGCAGGAGCAACATGTTCATCAACAGGTGGGAGGGTTGAAGGAAGGGGGGAAGGATGACAGGAATGGACAACAAAGGGTGTATGAATCGGCAGGCTGGGAGAGGAGGGGGGTTGGAGGAGGGAGTTGTAATAGGAACTGGCAATGGTATGCAAAAATGTCAGGCAGATCAGCAGCCCAGGAGTGTGCTACTGATAACAGCACAGGGAGGGGGAGACAGCACAAGGATGACAAAGCAGGAAAATACAATGTTAGAGTGCAAAAAAGAGAGGGGGAAACAGGCAAGGCTGTCACAGGCAATCAGGAAGAGTGGCCCTGTCACGAGGGCAATGAGTAGGCAATTGGATCAGCAAGGGGATAAAAAGGACTTCTCACCCCCTAAGCCCCACTCTGAGGACGCTGGCAGAGGACCAGCGAAAGCTAAGTTGTTTTAATTTTTGTATATAACTGTTTTTATTGTTTTAAATGTGGTTTTAACAATAAATAACTGGAGTATACTCTTCCCGGAGATCGAATGCGAATCCTGGGCATTATGTTAACAAATAAAAGAAAAAAATGGGCCAATGACGTGCTCAAAGACCTGGGCGCAGAGGTAGGAGGCTATCTGAGCTGTCTTCCCGATCTCCTTCTATTCTAACTCTGATGACGCCGGATGACGTGCTCAAAGACCTGGGCGCAGAGGTAGGAGGCTATCTGAGCTGTCTTCCCGATCTCCTTCTATTCTAACTCTGATGACGCCGGCAGTTTTTGGCCGGACAAAAGCTTAGTGACTCTTCTTAACCACAGGCTGGTTTATTATATCCTGGTGTTCATTTTTTCTTTTATTTGTTAATATATATATTAACAAATATATAAAGTTGATCACATACATTATATTACACATGTAGATAACATTACATACTATATATTACATACTGTACATACAAAAGATTACATGCTAAGGCTAATGTTTGCTATAATTACTGTGGTTTGCTATAATTACTATGAGCAATAAATATCTAGACTTACCCCCATGTCTTTAAACACTTTAATTGCATTTTTTGCAAGACAATAGGTGGCACTCTCAGCTGTGAATATAATAATAATAATATTATAATGTTAATTTACAGATTTAAAAAAGCCTCTATCTAAAACAATATAATTAAATCAGAAAGTTAATACTTCTACAGAAATAACTATCTGACATACCATACACTGCAACATTCTTTTCTGTTCTTGATATTAAATATTTGTGTAATTTTTGAAGACATTCTGTCTCCCTGACAGGTCCACTGAAATTATGGATGAAGATGGCGGCTGAACTATATGCCTCCAGTAATGGCCCTAGAAGCTTCTGCAGGAAGGAGATATATTGTTGGTGCTCCAATGACTGGCTCACCTAGTAAGACAAGCAGAATAATAAAAACAACAACAATCACAAAGAGGATCATGCAACAATATATGTACATACTGCTAAATCCACAGACTAAAACCAGGCATTATCAGTTGAAGGAAGGCAGGCTAAGGAATAAATTATGGTTCACCTTAGGTGGTAAGCTATTGTTTAAAACTAGAGTTTGTTGTTGGCTTATTTAGTGTATCTATGGTTTAGCTCAAGATATAAACAGAAAACATGGTTTGCTTTGTGACTTTCTTGTTTATTTCTATTTGTTTGTCTTATTTTTTGTTTGTCCTGTGCCAGCATCTAATCAATCCACGGACACATAAGCAAGAGCTTTTTTTTTTTTTTTAAGGGAATCTCCATTACTGCTTTACTGTTTTCTTTCTGGATTGTTCACCCAGTTATGATTAGAACAATTATAGCATTGCTAGAAGTTGTAATTTAGCAACACGTGGCAATCACAGAATCTCAAAATCTGTCGCAAAAAAAATCTGGGCTTATTTCTTAGAAACAATCTCAGTTGTCTATACAAGAACCAAAATTAGCTGATCCAAAGACATTCTTTGTTTTTCAATAAGGAGTCTGATAGTTGTATGTTTTCAAACAGAAAACTTCTGAACAGCTGTGAATGTGAAACCCTTAAGAACTCCTTACAAGTTGAAATAAACGCTTGGGAGAGAATGTGATAATTGGTATTATTTATAGTGTGTCATAGTTTAAGAGAAAATTTGTATAAAATTATGTATTGATATAAATGACACTGAAAATACAAATTTGTATACTTCTAATTTTTTTATTTTCATTTGTTGCACTTTTTTCTTTTTTTTCTTTTAATCTATGCTATGTAAAAATTATATACACACACACACACACAAACACAAAGGAGTTGGTCCTACAAATCTACTTAGTACCTTCAAGTAGCAATCCCGTTGTTCTTCACCGAAGTCGCTATCTTCATCCTCCTCATCACTCCTCCAGGACAACGGCTCTGGAATATTCTTTTCCCAGTTTTGCTCTGTAAGGCTAGAACTAATATCCTCCTGTTCTTCCTGCTTAGAATAGAAAAATAGAAGTGTAAGAATCATGGGGTTTTTTTTCCATTGTGAATACTGCTTTTGATTTTAGGAAAACCACCATAGTTTTCCTATAGTCATTTCAGGTGTTAGCAAAGGAAGATCCAAGTATTCATTTCCAAATTTATAAACCAAAGATGTTGGATTAACATTGCACAATTAATTACAAAGATTGGCTTGCATTATTCTCACTGTTATGCTTTCCACTGAAAATAAAGCTGATTGCTAAAGACACTCTCCTTAATATTAAAATCTAGGTGTTACCAGCACTAGAAACATCAGTTTGCAGAAAGTCCCTGCCACTGAACTTCATAGAAATGGAAACAATTCAACTTCATTACTATAGAAACATTCTTCCAGTATATTTCATGTGTTAAATTATAAAAATGCCTGAGGCGTTTTAAGACTTTTTACAATTCCAGAATTTTAAATAATTTCGTCTAAAGCAATTTGCACAAATAGAAACAATTGTGTCTGACTTTCTTAGTTTGATAGTTTTATCTCCTGGAGAATTCTGTACTGCACAGGAATGCTTTAAATTTGAATCTATATAATTAATACTTGGAAATCAGGAACACTGAGTTCATATATGCTTTTTTAAAAACTTCTGGATTTATCCAGGTTAATTGTTTTTGGCTAAGCTTTTTATTCTTTCCCAAAATTATTTTAGTTGTTTCTAGTTTTCTGACTAACTACTACATTTTTATTGTTGTATTGTTAGTTGTCTTATTAGGTCATAGATGAATCTATCGATCTGTACACAGAAATAAACATACACGTATGCATACACATACTTAATCTAATATATAATAACATTTCTTCATACTGAAAATATAATTAAGCACAGTTTGAAAAAAAAGAAAATGGTACGTATGTGGAACTTAACTAAGATCTCTTTTAGAATAGTTTTTTTGAAAATCACAAGATACAAACCTATATTCAGTTCCAAATTTCATCAATCTTGCTCGTGCTGAATCCAACAAGCATGTTGGGGGGGAGTGACATTGTAGATTTAACAGCCAACTAAATTTTTCATTCCTTGCAAATATATGCTGATATTTATGTAGCTATTAATTCATATTAATTAGTGAGCAGTACTTCTACTAAAAATAGTAGAATGCTGAACACTGTAACTACCAAAAATTATTTCTATTTTAGGTGCAAAGAAGGCCTTCACAATTTGAACTGTATTTTTTTGTTTTGTTTTCTGGAATATATGAACCTTCAAGATTATTTTATTAAATGAGTAAAGTCAATTTAAATTTCTCAGAAAGCACAAATAATTGTTAATAGAAACAAATCGGTAAGATTCAAAAAGGGAAATGTAATTGTGCACTGGAGATGAACATATAATTGCTAAAATATACAATCTTTTGTTGAAATTTGAAACTAAAGAACAGATTAAAGAATGCATAATAAACTGGCCTCAGAAATTTGGTTACAGTATACCAATGGATCACTGGAGAAATATGTGGTTAATGTGGTGTTCTGATCACAAAGATATTTTTTATAAAATCATGTATTTAGATAATAGAATAATTATCTAAAATGTATAAAGGAACTTCAAATGTATATTGGAAATGTGAACAACATGAAGGGATCTTTTATCATCTTTGGTGGACATGTAAAAGCTTAAAAAGTTTGAATCTGAATACATACTTTGATACAGAGGATTTTAAATATCAACAGTCAATTGAAGCCAGAACATCTTACCTTATCTTATCTTATCTCATCTTATCTTGTCTTATCTGTTTATATATATAACTACTGCAAAGAATACTAGAAGCACTTTATATATTTTTTTTCTATTGTTCTTCAACTTTGTTTATTTCCTTGCATTTTTTTGTTCTTTTATTTCTTCATTTTTTTATTCCTTAGTTTATATTACTTTGTTAGCATTGATCTTCTTGAGTAAAATAAAATTATATATACAAAACTAAGTATCAAAACTTATTTTGGTATTTTCAAAAGATTTTCTGCAGTGAAATGAGTATAAAAAGTTGCCAAATAGCATAGTTAACTATCCAAAATAATTATCTAGATACATAAAACACATCATCAACATCTTACCTCTGCTACTAAAAGAAGTCCATATTGTATGAACTGTTCAATTGCTTCATGGCACACTTGACATAAAAGCTGACAGGGCTGAACAGGAAAACAAATTAGAACCTCATGACAATACTCTCTCAATATACTATTTCTCTCTATTAATTGAATACTCTTGCATCAAATGAACAACAATTCTTATAAGAAAAGATAATTTCAAAAAATGGAAGTATTAATTTCCTCTGCAGTTATTTCAGGTCAATAGTAGTTATTTTTCTGGAACAGGCAGTAAAGTAAATGTGTAGATCATGTACTTGCAAGAGTGCTTGTAAATTTTTCTTTATTTTTCTATTTCAGAGGAAACACAAGTAATGCATTTATTTTAATTCCAACATAACTGAAAACTGAAAGCAGGAAAATAAACAATTACAGAACTGGAAAAAACCTCCCTTTCTTCCATATTTAAGAATTTTTTGTCAACGTTTTCCCAAAAGCTATTTTAGAAGGTTGAAAAATTATTAGCCATACTTATCTCAATGTGTGTCATTCCCTATTATTTCAATTAGTGCTTATTTACACAGCTTATTCCAATCTGCCTTGTGTTACACTATTAGCTTTAATGCTCCACATATCCTTACACTTCAAATTAGGGCTTGTTCCATAAAAATCGAAATTTTAATAGAGAGGTAGATTAGTTTTTAACTTAGTATACCATTGGGTCTTAACTGCCCAGTGACTGCTGGAAGATCATTCATTGAATACTTTCTCTACTAGGAATTAATAACCATAGTTTGATTAGGAAGTTATTAAAAAAAAAACATTAGGTGCTTTTCCATGTAACATAGGAAGCAACAGTACTGAATTCAGAATACAACACAATCATTAACAAATCTAAAGAATCATATTTATTATTATATGCATTTTATTTTAAAGGATGTACATTTTATATATAATAACTGTATGTAAAAATGAGACAGGCCGGATTGAAAATGAGAAAAAAAATGCTTTGAAATATTTTCTAGCTTCATTTAAATGGCATTTAAAATGGTTAAGCTGTAAAATAAATTGTTTTATATTTATTGTCTTGGTCAACAATGTTCCTTTTTCTGGTCACATTTTGGACACTGTGTGTGTGTGTGTGTGTGTGTGTGTGTGATATACACACAGAGAGAGCTTGCCTGCTACTTCTGTATGTAAATCATGTGGGAAACTGATACTGCTTGAAGCTCCATGTTTCTCTTCCCTTCTTCATTTCTTCTTTTTAAAAACTCCAATACATCTCCGTTTGATCCATAATACTGTACCAGAATACAAACAATATGGTGGTAGCAACAGAATATGTGCCAAACAAATCTGCACCTGAATACTTACCAATGAAACAGTTCCTTCGTAACACAACAAATAACAGAGGCTGGCAGCTTTTCGGACCAGTTGTTCTTGACTAATCACATTGGGCAGAATCCCACTGATATCATTTTTATGCCTTTTATTCAGTAAAGCATGAAGACTACATGCTGAAGCAAAAGAAAAGATATATTCAAACGTATTTCTAAATTACTGCATGATATGTCAAACTCAACTTCTTAAATAGTAACAGCAACATTGGGCAGAGCATTTCAGGCACCAGAGTAAGTTCTAGGACGTACCGATGACAGCCTCTTTGAAGAAGACATGCAGTATCCCATTGCTATAAAAGCTGAGTTCAAAGACAGCAGGAACAGACGTGTTGGGAGTGATGAAGAACTCATTATTCCGACTGGTGTTTGTGATAGTTATACAGTTTCCCAACAAATGGATAGCGTGCATGACAACATCTTCAGAATTCCCTGAAAATCCCAAGTCATAGTCCCGAGCCAAGACCTCCTCCTTCATGGAGAAGAAATCTTCCACCAGCTTAGAAAGATCAATTCCCTAGACAAAGTATTGACGTCAATAAGTGATCGCTCTCCAGTTATACAAGCCCTATACAAGGTTAAGAAATGCTAAGTAGGATTGGTTAGAATAATTCCAAAGGAATGAGGGTAATAATCCTAGGCAATACTGAAACCACATTTATGATACTTAAGAATCATGGCCTGAAACAACATATTGCGGGGACGGGGATCTAATATTTTGTTGGTTTGTGTGACAGATGGTGCTCCCATAGGGAAGCTGGTGTGATGTATTACAATGAACCAGCAGTTTCCCAGGAAGGAGATGGTACATTTGGGGGGGGGAGAGAGGGGGGGCAGACAAGATGCAGTATAGCTTAGAGCTGGATAAGGGATGTCTCTAAATAAGTGTAGGTTCCTTCCTTTTGAGAACAGGAATAAAAAATTAACAAAGTCAGTTTACACATAGCTTATGAATGCACCCTATTCCTCAACAAACTCAGTAAGTAAGATAAAATAGGAAAAGTGAAAGCTTAGAACATGTTTTAAGCATTGTTGGCACTTTGCAAATTATTCAGTGAATGCAGAAGCATAGCAGCCTTACCCGTCTGTGTCGGTAGAGCAGCAAACAGGCAACAATGTGTGTTGACATCACAGCACATGATTTGTTAGCAGCTAAAAGCAAACAAAACAGAATAAAGCTATACTGGCACTTTGGATTGCAACAGAAAGCAACATTTACAAAATGCCAGTCACAGCTGAATTAAGAAGTATGATTATACAGAAAGATATTCCATTTTCAATAAGGCAGCACAAAAACCTATCTATTGATCAAAAATAAACATTAATTTTTAGTACACAAAAATGTAATATTTTAATCCATTGCAACATTAAAATACCTGGCACTCTGAAAGAGTGAAGAGTGGAAATGAAGAGTAGAGGTAAAAACAGAGAGCAAAGTTTGGCTGTCAACTCTGAGGACAGTAGGAAAAGGTGGCCTTATGGCAGTGTTTCCCAAACTTGACAATTTTAAGGCATGAGGACTTCAACTCCCAGAATTCCACAGCCAGCAACGCTGGCTGTGGAATTCTGGGAGTTGAAGTCCACATGCCTTAAAATTGTCAAGTTTGGGAAACACTGCCTTATGGTAGAGAATGGATGACTGGAGAATCAAATGGATCTCTGAGAGACTGAAGAATAGTATGGAAAGCCCCATTGCTCTAGAGCAGTGCTTCTCAATTATTTTCTGTCATGCCCCCCTAGGAAGAAGAAAACATTTCGCGCCCCCCCGCGCGACTGTCTATCCAATCGGGTCCTTTGCGTATGTCACGTGCATCCAATATGACAGTATTTGCCGAGGTCAAACGAGCCCCCCTTTACGGAGCCTCGCGCCCCCCCTGGGGGGCCCGCCCCACTATTTGAGAAGCACTGCTCTAGAGTAAGAGAGCAATGGTGTATATTTAAGTGTCATGGGGCTGTTGAAGTGTTTTAGCAGACATCTGCTTACTCAGGGGATATATACAATGGTTATTAAGATTATGATAGAATGGGGGGGAGAGAGGCAGAGAGAAAAGAAAAAAGGGAGTGTAATTTTCATGATAATGGGTAGATGGATATGTAAGTAGCATATTAGAAGGAAATCATTCTAGGTGGAATTGGTCAGCTCATGCTATATGTGCCTATTCTCAGCATTATCTCCAACAGACAGGGATCCAAAGACAGTATTGTGTTATTTAACTGGCCATTTGTGATTGATTTTAGTGGTTTTCTAATAATTTTATAAGCAACCAGCAATTATCACTTGAATAGCAGATGATTTACTGTACTGTAGTTCTGTTGTTGATGTGATGTGTTTTCACTTTATAAACTGCCTGGAATTGTTTGAATTGGGCAGTATATAAATTCCTATAAACAAATAAGCAGAGGTTTCTTAACCAGACAAAGTTCTCACTGCTAGAACCTTGTTATCTACACTGAAGAATGAGCATTCCATTAAAAAAAAAAAACACACAAGATAGAATTTGGGCATAATTTGATTTCGTTCTCAAAGATGTACAATAGTGCCAATAGTCAAAGAGACACATTTATTGATTGGATGTTCCCGCTCTGACAACTGATGAAAATTGCAGTCATTTCCGCTTTGCTTTTAACATGCTTTGTCCTCTTGTTAGAAACTAGGTGCAGAAGGGGGGTTGGGATGAATGCTTGAGCTCAGCTAGCCATAATAATAACGCTGCTCTATGGGAACTCAAGGACGAACTGATAACATTTTGGCAGGCTAAGGAGCAGGGGAGAAAAGCCCATGTTTCAGGTTAATTGGAAAATGTGATTTATGACTTATTGGGGGTGGGAATTGCAATTTGTTACTTTGTATCCAGGGGAAGGGAATTTAGTTGTGGGTTCAACTATGTAGTGCCGATACTTTGTTTCCTGAAAAAAATGTTCTTTAAGGAAGAATTCTTGCCTTGAAGTTCTTTTGATGGGTTTCATCTATCGGAACCATGACAGATTATACATATATCATATGGTAAAAGGGAGGAAGGGGTTGGAAGCCAGTTGACAGACCAGTCTTCGCTTTCCCTCAACCGCTGTTTAACAGCAGTCAGTTTATCCCAGCTGGTTATCCTGCAAACTGTCACTTTAAGAGGTGACTTTTCTGAGTAATATCTGACGCCTTAGGAGAAGAACAGGATCCTGCCCTATTTTAGAAACCAACTGTAGTTAAATTATTTCATCTTCAGCAATATACTTAAAATAAAGACAGGAAGATCCAAAATATTTTCAGCCAACTAGTTTGGCATTGCCTCCCGAAAAACTGGTTTCCTTTACTACAGAAGTGTTACAGTTTTAAGAATATATTAAATATACAAAGTTAGTCAGCAAAAATATTTAACTATTCAATGTGCTCCTTTTATGTCATACGCATCCTAGATACTGTAGACATTATTTGAGTGAGCTCAACTCTGAAATATTAGATTAAATAGATGAAGAAAAGTAAGATTATGCTATTCACACATTAAAGTTCTAGAAGTAGATATGGCTTCCTATACTGGTGCAATCCAGAAGGCATTATACAGGTAGTCTTCGACTTACAACAGTTCGTTTAGTGACCATTCAAAGTTACAATGGCACTTTAAAAAGTGAGTTATGACTGTTTTTCACACTTTAAGACCATTGCAGCACCTCCACAGTCCTGTCATCAAAATTAAAACACTTTGAAACTGGCTCAGCTGTATGACGGTTGCAGCGTCCAGAGGGGTCACGTGATCCTCTTTTGCAACTTTCTGACAAGGAAAGTCAATGGGGAAGTTGGGTTCACTTAACAACCATGTTACTAACTTAACAAATGCAATGATTCACTTAACAACTGTGGCAGGAAAAGTCGTAAAATGGGGCAAACTCACTTAACAAATGTTTCACTTAGCAACATAAAATTTTGGGCTCAACTGTGGTTGTAACTTGAGGACTACCTGCACCACTCTGGGAAAGGCAATCAATAATTTTATGTAAAATTCGCAAATCTAATAAATACAATGAGTATAATAAAGAGATTTATTCAGAATGGCATCTCTCAGATTAAAGACTATATAATTTTAAAACAAAAGAAAAAGAAAGGACACAGGAAGAGGAAAGCCCTGCTACTTAGAAAGTTGAATGTGACAGAGAAAATGCAGGATGAACTCTACAATGAATACTTACTGAACATTATGTGTTCTGCCAAGTTAGCTATTAATTGTCTTCTCAGTGGCTCATAAGATAAATCTCTGGAATCAGGAAGGGCAGCTTCTGTACTTTCTCCTACTATGTAGTTAGGCCTGAAGATTAAGTAATAGAATGGATAACTTGTATGAACTGTACGGACCACAAAATATTTTAAGTGCTGCAGTTCCCAGTGCCAAAGACTATATTTGTGAGGGAGACGGCACTGAACTTGCAAATAAACTGTTCTTTTATCTTATATGAGCAGATTTTGAAAATTACTGTAGGGCAAGTCTATTACTGCCAAAACATGAATCATACTTCCCTGATTAAATTATAGATCTAAGTTTGACAGGTTTTCCCTACAACTGCTTGCTTCATGGAATCACACTGTATTAACAAAGCCTGGGCTCCCATAGTAGCATCTAGGTTGTATTGCAAAATAAGAAATCATGCTTCATCTTAAGATTTTCATATCCTGAAGAAATAATGATATTTTTGCAGCAAGAGTAATGATACATTTTACAACTTTCCTATCATGTAACAATTCCTCAATTTTTTTTCCTGATCATATGCAAAAAAACCAAAAAAACCCCCAACAAACAAACAAACATAAAACCCCAAAGTCTTCGGCTGTTATAAGTAGCTAATACATAATCCCAGAAAATCAATTATTTAAGTTACCCCAAAATGATTTCAATAGGCTAGCTCACAGGTCGGCAACCTGCGGCTCCGGAGCCGCATGCGGCTCTTTGAGCCTTCCCCTGTGGCTCCCAGCCTCCTCTGCCTTTGCAGAGAGAGACAGAGACAGAGAGAGGCAATTGTGCTTCCCTGCTTCTCTCTCTCTCTCTCTGTGTGTGTTTTGTGTGTGTGTGTTTTGTGTGTTGTGTGTTGTGTGTGTGTGTGTGTGTGTAAAAGAGAGTGCACTCACAGAAGTTCTCGGAGGAGCTGAAAAGCTTACTGGGCGGAGCTCTTCCCTTTGCTGCGTCTCTGCAGGAAGCAGGAAGGGCAGGAGAGAGCTAGCTAGCCCAGCTAGGCTGACTCAGGAATTCTGGGAGTTGAAGTCCATGAGTCATAAAAGAGACGAGGTTGCCTACCCCGGAGGTTGTTGGACAACAGCTTGAAGCTTGCCAGGTGAGCAGCAGATGGGGGGGGGGAGAGAAGAGAGAGAGAGAGAGGGAGGGGGAGAGAGAGAGGAAAGAGAGAGAAAGAAAGAGAGTGGGGGAAGAGGAGTGGCAGACCAAGGGCGGAGAGGGAGGGAGGGAGAGAGACAGAGAGAGAGACCCTTTTGACATCTAAAATGAAGATAACACTGCATATATCCTTTTTTTTACCTGTGTGTGTATGTAATTTTATTCTCTTAAAGCATTCTCTCGGTGATCATTGTTTTAATAGTATGGATATTCCCAAGAGTCATATTTTTACTTTTATTTTTAACGTATGTGTGTGTATATATATACACACACACACATACACAATCTCTCTCTCTCTCTCTCTCTCACACACACACACACACACACACACACACACACACACCTATAATAAAGATAAAAAAGGATATATGCAGTGTTATCTTCATTTTAGATATCAAAAGGGTTTTGCGGCTCCCGGTGTTTTGTTTTTGGTGGGAAACGGGTTCAAGTGGCTCTTTGAGTGTTTTGGGTTGCCTACCCCTGGGCTAGCTCAAATGTAGTTACACAAATCAGAGACAAAACATCCAAAATTCAAGATACATTTATACCATAATTACTAAATAAAGGTACAGCTAGAATTCTAAGTATTAACTAGTTTGACTAAATGTTTTTGAAATGTAGTACTTAACAGTATGCATAATTAAGTGTGTAATATTCAATAAAAACATTCTGATGGATGTTATCTAAGCAGAATTCTAACTTATTCAAAGAACATTCACAGAAAACATTTTGATCATGAGTCCTTAAATTTGTATTAAAGATTGATACACTGAAATTTGGAAAAGAACTTCCTCGACATTTATAATCTGTAGATTTAACAGAATATTTGATTGTTGTTTGTTCATCATTGATATAAAATCCTCAATTCCATCATACCTTGAAGGCAGTACAGCTGGTAATAGAGTATGTTCCAAAGAAAGGGGAACAGGCAAAGGTTTCTGATTTTGGCAATCTAAATATTCCTGTAAAAACACAACATTTGTAACAACTCTCTTACTGATTAGGAAAATGATTTTTAGAGAACAGCATAGTAGCAAATACTGCCAATTAGCGAATAATGTAATATACTGAAAACATGTAATTTTTGAAGTGCATTAGTTACCTCAAGAATCTAAATTCATTTACAAGCAAACTGAAAAGGTAATAATAAATTTCTTAGATATTTCTAGGTGGTATTTCTTGCATCACTGCTTTAAAAGAAAAAACTTTACTAGTTTTTTCCATCCTTGTCTTCTCAGTCTTTGCTCAGTCTTTCCAAAGGACCTAGGACAGACAGATGTTGCTGTTTAATAATATAAATGTATCATCAAAGGATGTAAACTGTTCCAAGTATATTATTATTATGGTTGGTTGAAGTCAGCCAGATGTGAATTAGGCAATTTTATCCACCTATAGAATCTTTCCCAAGGATCTGGGAATAGGCAGATATTGTTTGGTGGTATTAAAGATATCAAGGATGTAAAGTGGTCCAAGTAAAGCTGCCTTTTTCAATTGACTAATAATAAGTTTATCAAGCTTCAAGGTGTTCAAATGATGCTCCATTTGCTCCAGTTATTATTGTTACTACTTTTGTTTTCTTTTGATTAATACCTTGAAGTCACGGCATCTCATATTCAACACTTTTGTTAATGTGTAAGGATCTGTATTCTAGCATGAGATTTCAGCTACAAAACTCTTTTGTTTGAGCAATACCATTATGTGTGAAGTAAAAACTTGAAATATTGTTTCTACTTTAATCTGAAATATGACTCGTTAAAATATCTTTTTCACAGTTTCTCAATGAAATTTTGGTCATAAAATATCAGCTTACTTTTAAAGAAAATGGTTGAGCGAAATCAACTCTAACACATCCATAATTCTTTCGTAACATTCGAAAGACTCCTCGGGCTACACTCCATAGGCTTTCATTCTTCTTGGGCTTTCCCTGAAAGACATTGAAAAGAAAAAAAAATAACCAAGTTATTTTTATTAAAAAATAAAACTAAATCTAATTCATTGGTCCTCCAAATCATGTGAAGTTGTTATATAGTTGCTTTCATCAAATGAACATATATTTTTAAGCATTTTTCCCTGAATGATTTATTTTTCTGCATGATTTTATTTTGTATCATATTAAGTCCAGATAAAGTTAACTTTTGTCTCAAAACTATAGTTTTATCAGCAGAACTGTTAAGCATACAATAAACAGCACCTCTTACCAGCTGTTCACTCGTATAGTGACCTTCAATTATTCTGTCGTAGGAGATTCCCACAGGTATAATTAGTACATCAGGAGAAGCATTTGAATATAGAGCATCCACTACTACTGATAAAAGACCTGCCCTTGCACAGGCTACTTTCCCACTCCTGGACCGTGTCCCCTCCAGAAATATCTCTAAGAATTGCTGCTGTCGAAGCAACTCTTCAACATGCTGAAAAGAGAATGGCAACAAGATCAGACGCAAGTTCTTTGCATTGTTTCAAATCAGTAATTTGTAAGGTAGACACCCACCATGAGCACAGCTCAGATTTGCAACTCTGTGCGAGAACAAGATTTCTAATCATTTAAGCAATAACATGTCCTCATCTATGATATACAACTTCACTTTTATTGGAACTGTATGTGATTGGATAGGATAATCATTACTGAAAGATCACAAGTAACTTTGGTATTATCTAACTAACAACAGTGCACATGACTAAGAGCATATAGTTGCATAGATATGAGAAATGCAACTTCAACATTTAACTAAAGCATACAAATTTCTTCAGGGCAAATGTATAGTCCATACACCACTGACATGCATACAACATTACAATGATCCATGAAGTCATCAGTTTCCACAAAATACATAAAAGTACAATACAAGCTTTTCGCTGTTTTGAAATGAAACTTATTTAAATTTTGAACTTTGCTATACATTTAAATATGCATTGTGCACTGATACAATGCACAGATTTTATTTGCAACCTTGCAGAAATAAACTTTTTTTAATGTACATACCACATGCAGTAAGGTTCTGTACAAAATATCTTTTTGGCCATCAGGGCTCTCATCTAATTTTCTTCGAATAAAAAACCCTCCAAGTTTGTGGATTAAGGTGCTACGGAAAGGAAAAAAAAATATGCATGCCTTTTTAATTAAAAGGGAAAGAATGCAACTTTAGCACAGGTTATACCAGACTGGGAAAAATACAATATGGATATTTGTATAATATGAAAGGAAAAAACTAACTAATATTAGTTGAGCATTTGATTATAAAGCAGTGGTGGCGAACCTATGGCACGGGTGCCAGAGGCGGCACTCAGAGCCCTCTATGTGGGCACGCATGCCATTGCCCCAGCCCCCCACCCCCATGGGCCCCTCTATATCAGCAGCCCCCTGGAGGAGACTCGCCCTGGGCGCAGCCTGCGCAAAGCAATGCAGACAAGGACATGCAGCCGGGCAGCGGGGACAAGACTCCACTCTCGTGCCCCATCGCATACAGCTAATGCTGCAGGGCCCAGACAGAGGGCAAGGCTGCCATGATGCTGCTGGGCCACCTGGGCGATCTGCTGTGGTGGGCCGTGGAGGTGGTGGTGGCCCTGCGGGCAGGAGAGGCAGGGTCAGGACAGGGGCGAGGCAGTTTTTGGGCACTCGGTCTCTAAAAGGTTCGCCATCACTGTTATAAAGTCTTAGATGCATTCAAATCAACCGCTCCTAGCATTACAGATCAAAAACATTACAAGTGTTCACTTTTTTTCCCTTGATGTTTTCTTTTAATGTCTTTGAGGAAAATGATATTGTGATGTGATACAATGATGTGAAAACATGTTTAAATATATAAAATTAGTATTTTATAAATATTAATATAATTTTTCATTAATCAAATCAAGACATATAACAAATCATATAAAAAGTTAAGTTTTATCAACATTGTTTTATAAATCAATATTGCTTTTTACTAGAAATCTGTATCAATGTCTACCCTTACCAATGTTTTTTTAAAATTATATTGGAATGGTGTAAGAGACCAAGATTTCAATTATATATATTAATTATGATAATTATGAAGAAGCATATTATTTGAAAACACATGTTAAGTGTACAAAATATACCTTATTTTGTTTTTTTTTTAAAAAACTTTTCTTTAGGATAATTACAATATTACAGTCCTAGATAGTTAGGAATAATCTATTTTCTTAAACATGACATACATGAGATAGAGTTTAATAGTGAAGAATTTGTAATTATAATATAAAACTCGATGCTGTACAACTGATAATCTTTTTATACATGGAACTCTTATTCTATAAGTTATATCTATATCAAAAGCTGACTTTTCTGTCTTTCATAGAAAAAAATTACAGGTTGTTGAAGTTTAGATACATTTTTCATTCTATTTGGCACAATTTGTAAAAAATAACCTCATTACTTTCTAACACAGGTATTACAACTTCAGAATAAAGACTACTACAATTGCAATCTTATTTCTGTTTATTTACCAAATTAACATAAAAGTTGCTGACCATGTATAATGTGTCATACAACAAAGCACTTTTCCATCATGCATGCTACATATTCAGATATCTTCTTGATAGATGTTAATTCACCTTAGTCAGGTAAGGGAACAAAATGGCTGACATTAACTTAGTAAAAGTACTCATGCTGTTTTACCTGAAAATAGGAATATTCAGATTATTTCCTGCTGCAATGTAGGGTGCCTTGATATTGTGGCAGAAAAGAATGAATGTGAGAAGTAGGTAGTCAATGTGAGATTTGTGAACCGGTAAGAAGACAAGAGGCAAATTTAGCTGTATGAAAAAGAAAAGAGGAGTTTACATTCGATACCAAAACATAATTTTAACATATCAGTCTTCCGCACTGTCACTGTATTTCTCTCTTTCTCTTGGTAGTACTTGCATTGGTTAGGCAGAAGAGGGAATGAATGTAGTAAAAAGGATATATATTTCACAGGCAATAGATTTTCATCAGCATTTACAGCAATTAAATATAATTGCTTTCTTTGTATCATATTATGGATAATCTAAGGTGGATTTGAAACATATATAGTAGTTTATATTATGATTAGATACAAGGTAAACTTTGAACAATACTTTGTTCAATAGTTTTAAAACAGAATGATCTGAAAATTAATGGCAAAAATATATTGAATGAACCATAGATAAGTAATTAATGGTAAACTATCATTTAAATATTCTACAATTACTGAAATTTTCAAGTAGATGTTATTCCAAGAATATATCATTCACTGATAATTTACTACAATTTATCTTGGCCAGTAACAATTCTATTCAGATTCAGCCCCAATAATAATTTCAAAGGACTTGAGAAACAAACTGATCCTGGAAATTGAAAAAAAGATTATAAAACAGTTTTTGCATTTCTTCTTGTAAACAGTTCCCTTGCTTCTGTGGCCTTGAGGAAGACACAGAAGGCACTAACACAATTTACTACACAAAATAACTTCTGGCAGTAACTTTTAATTCATTATTTTTATTTATTAAACAAACCATTAAACTGAAGTGATTATATGCTGAAGTTTAAGATTGACACTGTAAAATAGATTCTGCTGGATGTAAGTGAACTTTATTTTTTATACCTTTTTATCAAAGATGTCTTTTCAGGAAAGAAAAATAAAGGTAATTTTTTCCTGACTATTTCACAGATTGAATCTGAAAATAACTCGCTATTTACTATGTAATAAAAATAAAAATGCTGCCACTGCATACATTGCCTCAACTATTTTTATTACCTCAGTTGCTGCTTTCACCATCTCTAGTTGGCCTTTATGAATCTGGATATTCCAAAAAAAGCTGTTAAATAATTTCAATAAAACCCAACCTGTTAACCTGAAAGAAAAATACAAATTAAGCCACTATATAATAGAATTTATATTTTATACAATCAATTGATAAAGATATACTAGTTGCTTTTTCACGTTCAAAACAGAAACAATCACATCATCCTTGATAGACCAAAAGCATATTGTGAAAATTCTATTAAAATGCAGTTTAAACAATAGTTTATATATAGACTATCATCTGTAGAAAATATAAAATACAAAGAAATTTTAATTCCACATAATTCTGAACAGAGTGTAATATTGGGCTGATAAAATGACACTTATTAAGAACATGTTCTTGTTCCATTGAAAAAGTTTGGATACATTAATATATGAAGGAATTCTTCAAGGGCAAAGAATGTTTTTTATACATTTTGCAACAATGACAATGGAAGAACAATATGAAGAAAGGAATAACAAATATCTCTGTGGATTTGCACAGTATTGAATACACTCAGACCTCACAAACAGAACTTAGTATTATTACCTAATCAGAGAAGGAGAGATATTTGCTACCATTTCTTGAAGGATCCTTCTAGCTTTCTTCTTGGTTCTGTTAATGTTTCTAGATTCCAGCTGATTAAGACCATTTACAGCTGATGATTCTGAAGACTCCTGTATAATAGCATTCTGTACTCTAAATATCATAAAGTGAATTGAATTAGACTTCAACTACTTCAGATCAACTATTTTCAATTTAAAACTGAGATATCAAAGAAATCCCCCACATCATGGTGCTAATTGACTATACACTTTGTAATTGGAACCTTCATGATTTTTTTCACTTAAAAATATTACATGTATGACATTTCAAGGTTATAAGGTATAAGACTATGCATATATTTACATATTTTGATACATGTATTTATATAAGCATACAGTCCCTACAGAACACTTGTAGAGCAGAATTATACACTTCATATTCCCTTAGAGCAGTGTTTCTCAACCTTGATAACTGTATGAGGTGTGTACTTCAACTCCCAGAATTCCCCAGCCAGACATGCTGGCTAGGGAATTCTGGGAGTTGAAGTCCACACATCTTAAAGTTGCCAAGGTTGAGAAACATTACCTTAGAGCCTTAGGTTCAGGAACCAGTGATTTTTAATATTACTTAAGAGAAAATTAAACAATAATTTAATGACTAAAGAGGAATCATATTAATTAAACTTCATTTCAATTACAAGTATGTGTAAATAAAATAAACTTTAGCCTTTATTCTTGTTCTTTATTCTTATTCTTAAGACGCCTCTATATAATTGATATCACACAGCCAGACACAAGGATATAAAGAAGACTCTTTGGAAACAAAATTTCAACTTGATATAGCTCATACACAGGAAGAAATTCAAAATAATTACTTTTAAATTCAGAACTTCTGCTGTACAAGAAAAAACAATTTTACTGTATGTTGAACATATATTATTTCTAAATAAGAACTTTTCAGTTACAATAATCACTATTATCTTTATCTTACCGACTATTATTCAGTACATTTTCCATCACATTATTTGCAAACATGCTCTTATGAACATCCCGCTCTTGCACGAAGAGAGTATAACAAAATCGCCGAGCAAGCCAACCTCTGTACCTATAACATTATGGAGGAATTTAAAGAAACCAATTATAAGAACGTTATCCTTCAAATGGCTGCCAAATATATCATATCATATATATCATATCATATATCATTCCAATTAATAAAATCAGTACAAGTCATTTTGAGTATAGGTGTTGATTTGGTTCTGGTTTAACAGTATCATGGCAGAAGTGAGTAAAAAACAAACAAATACAGTACATGAGGCACACTCTTGGCTGAAACATGTTCAGCTTAAATCAGCAAAAGAAAATACGAATTCCTTATTAATTCAGCTTTGCACATAAATACCGGCAGGACATACTAAAAAAGAGGTTTGCTTATTTTGTTTCTTTTCTTTCTCAACTGGGCCATTTTGCCCAGAACAAATCTGCAAGCAAAATTAAATTTTACCCAACTTCCGGTTTGCCGACGTGGCCGCCATCAACATCTGGAAGACGAGCTCCGTCTTCCTCGTCCAGTTTCGCATCGCTAGGGAACCCTGAAAGGGTCGAAAGTTGCCCTGTAGAGGCTATGAGCAAGGAGGGTTTTTTGCTGGATTGCGGGAGAGCAGTAGCTCTCCCGCTAGAGCCGGCGCTACCCTCCAAACCGGCGGATGAAAGACCAGCCATAGCAATATGGCCTGTCCCTAGGCTGCAGACAGCCGAAGTCACACTTACCACCAAGCAACTTTAAAGCAGCGTGGAAGAGACTGGGTGAGATCTACTGCTATTAAACCCTAACTATCTTTTTTTTTTTTACCCCCGTAAGCTGCTAAAATATTTTTCCCCCTGTGAAGAGGGAAGGGGGATTTTAGTCCTCCTTCCAGAAACAGCGGCGACTGATTATCCAGGGGAGTTTAAAACTTTGAAAAATAATTATATCCCAATCAGAATTTTATTTCCTAAAGCTTGTGGATTAAAAGAATTTCTACTTTCTATTCTTTACTTCTATTTTAATCTGAAGAGCTGGATTTTTCCTTAAAACTGAAAATTGAAAACACTAAAATAACTTTGGGGTGACATCTTGTGGCTAAACCTGATACTTCAACTTGTTATTGTCTTAAAGTACTTGGCTGACAGCCCAGAAAGTAGATAAGACCTGGGTAACTTTGAAACACCAGCTGTGAGAAGCTCAGCTGTGCTTTTTATTCAGTGGGGGGAAAAGACTCTCTTTCTGGACTCCCTGATTGTAAAGCTTCTAGCCTAATACATCATTATGGAAGAAGATCAGGAACAGATTTTTCTTATGGAAGAAGATGAGGAACAAATCCTTTTTATGTTGAAAGCCATGTATCAAACTCTCCTTACGCTGGTGAGGAAATAAGAGCCTATAGAAAGAAACAAGAAAGCAGGATATACAAATGCAAATTTTGACTACAATTAAAAAATCAACTATACAGAATGCAACAGAAAAAGTGGAACAATTAAATATTATGACAGAAGATTTAACTGCTCAATAAACTCAGATAATGGAAAATCCAGAAAAGAAATTGACAACATGGAAAAAGGAAAAGACTTTCTATATAAATCAGAAGAAACCTGAAGATCAAGAACAGATGGAAGAGAAGATAAGCACTTCAGGACAACTACACTGAGATGGAAAAATAAAGAGATCTGCTAGACCTTCTAGCCATTTCAAAAAAACGGTGACTGGATGGTTTTTTCAACGGCAAATAATATATATAACAATACAAGGAGATTTGTTTGACAACTCAAAAGCACTGACATGGAAGATGATTTGGCAAAGAAAGAAAGCTAGAATAAGACTGAAGAAAAATGGGGTTTTGATTTACTTATGAGAATTAAAATAGAATATACCCAAATAGATAAGAAGTATATTTTGAATACAAGATATTACTATGAATGGAGATAAAAAAAAATTTGGTCACTTAAAATTTAGAACTATAAATATTAATAGCTAAATTTGAATATTGATTTGCTCATAAAGGTCATGTAAAGATGATTAATATATATATATATAAGCTAAAAACCTATTGATGAATGTAATAAAAATTATTAGTTTTAAATATGAGATAGTAGATACAAAGAGGAGGAGAGAGGAAATACTAAGCATTGAAATAAAAGAAATTTTGGTTACTAGGTTTAAGATATTTGGAAACTATTAGAAAATAAGAATATTTTATTGTATTATTAATTTGTTGATATAGATGATGAGAATTTAAATAGATAAGACATGTACCCTGAATACCAGATTTTGTGAGAAATTGTGATGAAGGGAATTGGGAACATTTAAAACTTGGAAATGATAAATATTAAACGTTAATTTTAAATATTAATGGGAAATTAAAACTGGGAAAAATTTACTAGGACATTGTCTCAAAGATTGAACGTTAAAATGATTAAGATATATATAAACTAGAAACTATTGATAAATATAAGAAAGTTATTTTTTATTTTGATTTATAGAATGGGAAGTGTATTAATTTAAATATGAGACAGTACATATTAAGGGAAAAGAGAGGAAATACTTACTGTAATAGTGTGGGATTTATACTAATGGTATTTGTATGTAGTTGAATTATGGTAACTCAGTTGCCACATTGTTTTTCAAAGATATAAATGTAATATTGGAAAATCAATAAAACTTTTTAAAAAATGAAATTTTACCCAAGATTTTCACAGCATAAGAAATCAAAATAAATGTAAACAGAGAATAATACCTGAGTTTCTCTGCAACTTTAAATTCAAAATTATTTGGTACTATGGTCAGATAATAATAGAAGAAACTGTTCAGGAGGTCTACAGAACCAAATAAAATTGATTCCTCCTCCATCTTGGCTAATTAGTTCAAATACACATGATGTAAATTTAATAAAGCTAGCAAATCATTTTGGAAGACATTTGAAGGTGGAAGACAGATCATTTTGCCAATGATGAATTTACAGAGGTAATAACAATTCTGAGATCAAATGGGGAGCTAATGCCAATTTGCCACTTCAATTATTAGGGCAATTTTAGGTGGCATATAAAGAATAGAGATGAAAAATAATAGTATACAATACAAGAATATAAAGCACCAGAGTATCAAGCCATGTCAGAGAAGAACAATATTAGAAAAACAAAAGTTAACAAGAATTTGATCTCTTTTTTAGGTACACATGGCTTTCTATATCCATGTCTATGTCTACTTGTAAGTTAAAAACATTGTTTAAAACTGTGAGTACCAAAAGAAGTAATGAAAATAAGCTAGTTATTCTTTGGAGTTCCAACGTTGCTTTTAGTATTTTGAAATGACAAATGTATTTTGTAATATAGTATAACAGAAATGCAAAGGTTGCATTGCAGGATCATTAAATTGTTAAACTGTTGTGCAATCCATCACATGCCTGGTCAGAATTAAGGTACACTGAACAAATTAGATTATAGTAATTTAAAGTTATAATCAGGAGTAGAAATTTGTAAGCAGAAATTGGGAGCTCTATACAATAGATGGAATGCTTTCTTTGGGTAAGAAATATAGGGGCTTTGATGGGAATTCATTAAGCTAGATTAGATAAGCATATAAATTATTTCTTCTTTTTTGTGTTTACTATATGCAAACATTTACATAAGACAGTGCAAAATAGTATCTGTTCTTTTATGTGCTGCCAAAGGAAGCAGGTAGTCCAAGATTTAGAGCCGGTTACTTAGCAACTATTCAAAGTTAAAAGACCTCCCTGGGGATACTTATAACCTGGTTCTGAAGTTCCAACACTCTTTGAGGTCATGTGACCACATGTTGGGTACTGGACGATCAGCTACTTTCACAAATGTTGCATCCCACTGTCACATGATCGTGTGTTACTGCAGTTTTTACTTCTGGATTTTCACAAAACCAGCCCCTACTCAATGACTGTGGCAGTCACTTAATGACTCTTGCAAAAAGAGTTGTAAAACTGGTTTGGACATGTGGGTGATTCATTTTATGACCATCATGATTTACAATCATAATAGGCAGGTTCCATTGCAGTCTTAAGTTGAGGACTACCTGTAAGATAAAGGACTAACCATCCTTTATCTGCTATTTAAAATCTGCTTCCAGCATGAATTCTGTTAAAAAATAAACTTAAAATTAGCTTTACAAATGTGCATCTGACAAGTAAATTCTTGTTTATTCAAATTCATGCCAAATGTAATAGACTTAAATATGTCAAAGGACTTTCTATCCCTGACAAACTTGAAACTCTCCTTGCATTTTTTAAATCTAAAAATTAATGAAGATAGCTGACAATATGAAATTCTGGCTTACACCAGAGAGTATATTACATTTTCAGGCATATAAGACGACCCCCCCCCCGACTTTGGAGAAGATTTGCATGGTTTAGAATGTCGTCTTATACGCCAGAAAATACGGTACATTTCTTTTGATCCTCATGCCTATGATTTATTAGATGCAAGCAACCAGGACAACTCCTTGACTTGGCAAGGCAATTCTTTTATTGTCAAACTCCTATTTACAAGTATCTTGTCTTCTCTTGGCAAATGGCAGATATAATCTTAAAGGTCTGATCTCAGATTTCTCCTCCTCCAAATCAATTCCATCCTCGGAATCTCTCTTTACTGCCCCTCTCTTTAGCCAGTGATTCCATCACAGTTTTATGGAGAAATATTATTATGTAGCTTCATTCTGTTCAATAAAACCAGTACCTGTTTTCATGAGCATTTATACAAATTGTTGCATTACCATGTTGCAGAATTAGCTTTCAAAAAGACTAATACATTTTTTAAAAGGTGAGCATCAAGCTCAGCCATTGTATAGGTTTCAATTTTTGGGTTGAAAGTTAGCCTCATTTAATTACTCATATTAATACTACTAGTAGCACTAGTTTTCTAAGAACAGAGTTGATGAATAATGAAACCTTGAATCAAGTCCTTTTATATTTCTACATCATTTGGATAGTTACTTCTTCTGTATGCACTGAAAGCCAAAATGTCATTACTCTGCAGGTTCAGTTCAGCAAAACTAAGATTAATATTTAACCTTTTTACTCATTTTCCAGTTGAGTACAACATCCTTTTTAATAAATCACAGTATTAACTATACTAAAAAAGTATTTACCGTGTATGTGTCTCATTAATATAGATGACATTACGCAGACCCAAAGAAGGAATATTAGTATTAAAAAGCTTGTCCTGAAAGAAAAACACATAAATTAATTTATTACTAACAGCAATTCACAATAACTATAGCATTTTCCTGTATAATATCTCTAAAGGGGAAGAATCTACACACACACACACACACACACACACACACACACACACACACACACACATATACATCCATATAAATAATCTATAGCTCAAAGTTTGTCAAGGTTTAGTGTTCTCACATAAAATCTCAGCTATTTGCAAAACATATGCATATTTGTTAAAGTTGTACATCAGCAATTCTGGGCAATCCACACACAAAAAAATAAGTATAACAATAAAGAAAAATCTGTGCATCTTCACTTTGCCTGAACAAACCACTGGGCCCTGCTTTATAGTCTTTCATTAATATAGAGACATCAAATACTATTCTATTTCCACCAGGCAAAATCTGAAAGTAACCTATGCAAGGTAAGTACATAGCTACTAGTTCTTAATTTAATTGCCTTCTGGCTATTTGATTACCATTACATGAAAAATAAATTTCAGTTTGTTACTAATATAATTCCACTTACCCAGCTTTGAGGAGTGCATACGTAACAACAGCGTCCCACAAATGGTCTATTCCTGCCCAGAAGAGTCTCTTTCCATTTTAAAGTGGCTGATCGGAAGACGGTAGGCCTAGAATTGCATTCTCCCTGGAAAATAATGAATATATAAATATAGCCATAAAAACGGACAGCTTTGAATTTCTTTCAGGTTGCTTTCTGTAAATGAACTAGCTAAAGTTAAGAACAATTGATTTATTTGTTCTGCTTAAACAAACAACCAAATTCAGTTACTGGAAGTAATTAAACACATTCATAGACTTAAATACATACCCCAGTGTTTGCCTATAAGTATCTAGATCAACCATACTGTCAAAATATTTTCTTCCCTTTGAATTATGAAATCTGTATATATGATACTGAATCATTCCAAGATGACAGTCCCCCAGAAAGTACTTATGATCCCAGACTTCCACCAACTGTATCCACCTGCAGCTACATAATTGTATTTTGGGTGCTTGGCAACCAGTTTGCATTCATGGCCATTTGCCGCATATTGTGATTATGTGACTGTGATTTTTGGTGTTTTTTGCAAGCATTTACTTCAGGTAAAAACATCAATTGGGTAAAATGGATGGTAAAATGGCAAAATAGATTCATTTAACAACCACGTTTGCTTAATGACAACAGTCATTTAATTACTGCAGCTTTCACTTAATGGCCACTGCAAAAAGGGTCACAAAATCGGATGTGACCTACTTAATGACTGCCATGACTTATGACCATAATCCTGGGCATAATTACAGTCATAAGTTGGGGATTACCTGTACATTTCTGGAAATCTTGTAGGAATAAATCTGAAATAATATAATTTTGTACTATATATTTTAATATTAATCTGAACTTTTTCTATAGATGTATTATTTTGAATGAAAGTGGTGCTAGGTTATAGTACGGTATTATTTTTTATCAATTATATCCTGCCCTAAGAACTGTGTATAGAACTATCTAAATGTGTTACAGATAGTCCTTGGGTTACAGCGGCAATTGGGACCAGGATTGCTATTGCTAAGGGGATGTGGTCATAAAACGCAATAACACGTGGCTGCATTGCTTAGTCACTGCAGCCCCAGCTGTCCCGGTTGCCATTGTACCCTCAAGATATAGGGGTCATTAAGGCAGAAGTGGCAGAAGTCCCAGGTAAGAAGATAGGGGTGCATACCATCGGAGTGAGGGAAGCCTAGAAAGGCTGGCAAAAGCTGTAAGGTGGGGAAGACCAACAGAGAATTTGTGAGGCCTAGTACAGGTTGTGCACAAGCACAGAAAGTTGCAGAGCTGGATAGTGAAGTGAGGTCCAAGTGCAGGAAGACTGTAAGGAGATGATACAGAAGAGTGAGAGTGCCAGGAGCCTGAAGGGACTTACTAGAGAAACTTGTGACCTTCTCTACTGGCTTCCCCATTGACTTTGCTTGTGGAAAGCCAACTGAGAAAGTCAGAAATACCAGTCATGTGACTGTAGGGTGCTGCAACCATCATGTGAACTGTTTATCAAGCACTTGAATCACAATCATGGGACTACAGGTGTGCTGAAGTGGTCAGAACTTTGAGGACCAGTCACAAGTACCACTTGTTCAGCACTGTGGCAATTTTGAATAATCTCCAAACAAATGGTTGGTAAGCAAAGACTATCTGAACATTCTTAATTTTTTCAAGAGTAATCTTACCTTACTTTTTCACCTTTCAATAGGACACTAGCGTTTTATCTTAAGAAACCTGGGAACACTGAACTAGCATGCATTTTGCTTACCCATTCTTCACTGGAATGTTTACATCTTGTGACAGTGCATTCTGCTGAAGATGACAAGTAGGAAACATCTATTGTTCCAAGTGACAAAGCCGTATCCTCCATGATCTATAACATAAATTCAGGCTCATGAGCTAAAAGAGGAAAATAATTTCAGCATTAAAGAATTAAGCATATTAATAAATAACCTAATTCACCTATCCTAAATGTATTATTAAAGCTGAAATCCTTGGCACATTCATGGACTTTACTTCCAAAATAAGAAAGTCATTCACAACAACAATTGGCAATTAAAAAGATACGACTACATAACTATACAGTATAGTATATCACTATAACTTGCTTTCTTTTTGTTCTCCATTCAGGATTCTGTAACTCATTCCAGACAAGCTTGTAATTATACTTCAAACTTATCTACTGGTTGTTCATAATTACCAAAATTGGTTATGATCAGAAGAAATTAAATTTGTGATCCATTCATACACAGAAAGTAAATGCATGCTTAATTATTATAAGATAAGAACAGGAGGAATTTAAACTAGTTTCCTTCTAATATAATTATACTTCTCTGTTGCAGAAGCTTCTAGGCAAATAAAGTTGAAGTCAGTCAGGCTTCAGAAAGCAGGAATGCAGAATATATTCTCAAACCATGCAAGGATAAAATGTCTGGTTAGCAGTTCAGTGTGTTTCACGCACCCAAATTATTTCAGCACATTGTCTGAGTCTACAATCAGAAGGTGTATGGTAGCACCTTTTTCGACTACCAAATTTTTTGAAAAGCAAAAGCTTTCATGAGCAGCTCTCTTTATAAGATGCATAGCGTAGCAAGACTGATGTAAGACATAAATTGGAATAAACCGTAGGAAGGGTGAGAAAGAAAAGGCAGATTAATTATGGACAATTATGGACAATTATGCTACCAAATCCAATTGGCTAAAGAGAAGCATAGCTGGCACACAAACATGTTGTTTCTCACCTGGGAATCTAGCAACAACTGAGAATCAAAGAACCCTCCCAGGCTATAGATCTGTACTTTTCTGAGAAACTTCATCCAGAATAGGATAAACTTATGGCCTAGTTTCCTATTGAACAACACCATCCTTACTTTCTCTACAGCAAGTATTACATTGTCACTTTTAGGACAAATCATATCTAACACGTACCAGAATCTCTGATGGTGAATTGACAAAGTCTAACTGCTATAGAATGTAAACTTGAATCTTAAATAAAATCTTATTTGGAACTGCTCCAGAAACTGGAGATAGGAAAATAGAAGAAGAAACAGATATAGAAACAAGTATGGGAAAATTTAAGCGCATGGTATTACTTCAGTACTTACACTGAAATCCCTAAACATTTTAATGTACATTATTGCCAAATTTGTAACTGAATGCTTCAATTATTTGGAGCATCCAAGTATTCTGGCAATGAAATATTATCGTGCATGTGAAGTTCTACCAACTCAAACATATTCAATCCCATACTCTTTAGATTGTGGATTAAAATTTCCAAACCACCCAGCCAGCATATTCACTGCTTATCTGATAACATACATTCATACATCAACAATCTAAGTACTGAAAGATAAACTAGAACAAAGTGACCATAAAAGCAATAGCCTGTAAGACTGGATCTTTGGATAAACTTACCTGAGACTAAATGTCACTGAATTAATTGGATTTATTTCCAATTCTATGAACATGAGACCGGACTGCAAATTGTTAAAGCTTCAGTTGTTACAAATGCTAGAAGAAGAAAAAATGGCATCTCCTTCAGAATTTGCTCAGATAATTTATATGCAGTAGCATGCACAAGCAGTGCTAGGAAAGTATATAGCCACTTTAAATGTTCTTCTATAAATAACAGAACAACTACTGCATTAAACACTAGTATCAAATGTTGGGTGTCCCTATATAGCAGAAAGCTACTGCCAAAGAGATTTCGCTCAAACAAGGGAACATTAGCAATCTAAGCCAAATTGGCTGAATGACAGAAGGGACTTTCAGGCAGAGTTAGTTAAGTACACCAATGGAATGCAAGTGAAAGACTGAAAGAAAAGAGGAGAAAAAACAGCCTATCTACCAAGGAAAATGGGTATTTTTTCAGGGCCTACTTTGAATCGAATCCAGATTTATCAGCCAGATTGCCATAGTTAAGAGAACTATACTAGCAGGCTCCAGACAGAACAGATACGAACAACTACAGATCACTTTCCACCATGTAAGAACTTTCCTCCATGCAATGATTAACGTGGGCTCAGGGATAAATCTAAAAAATATTTTTGTGGCACCATGCTGTTTCTCTACATTCTTATTCACATCTTCACAAAATATTGCAAAAGAAAGGAGGGGGAGAGGGGTTCTATTATTTCATGCTATGTACATTTCACTTGCTATCTCGTTCAAGCATGGGCCCAGAGCCAGATTCGGTATGCTATGTGCTCTTTTCAAAAATTAGTTCCTAAAATACTTTCCATTGTAATTAGTGCGGACACGGTTTGTCCCACGTTAATCTTACAGTTTATTTATGTATTGGCCAGCCGGTTCAGCCAAGACTGCAACAGCAAAAACACTGCTAGTTACCGACGGTGACCGTCTGCAACATATTTTTTGGCTTCAAAATCGTTCCCATGCAAACGTTTCACAAGCAGCCCAGTTTTTCCAGTGGTGCCAATTCCCCCCCCCCCCGAAATTACCTTCTTTTTTCCAGCGACGATACTAGCGGAGGATCAGCCTCGGGATAGAGGTTTTTAAGATCTCCTTTCGAAATATCCAGCAGAAATCTGTCCAAAAACTCTCCACGCGCCGGATCCTCTATCCCTTGACCTTCCGATCTCTGACCCTTTGGGAAGCAAGCGGACGCTACATCGACGCGGCTCCGACACGAGCTGCAATCCTGAACAAGACCTTGCCGGCAAGCTAGCGGGCAGGCTGACTCGTTCACGCCGCCCCAACAAGGAGGGCAGATGCTGACGCGATTTTCTGAGCGCCAGGCGCCAGCGAGCAGGAAAGAGGCCCAGCGCGCTCGCGTCAGCGGCCGCTGGAGCGCCTCAACGTGCTGCGGAAGATGCTCAGACGCCACCGAGTTGGTGTCTTCCAGGTGTCTTGGGCTGCCATCAGCCTTGGCCGGTGAAGTCAGACGGATAGAGGAGATTGGGAGTTGAGCGCGACTTCAGGGGAAGCTCGGGGTTCATCAGATCTTTCCGCTGTTCAGAGCTAGGTTCAGTAGGCTGCCGATTTTCTTAGGTGTAAAAGGGGTGGCAATTGGAGACCTTGCTTTACTCCAAACACAGGCAGTCTCCGAATATTCTGCAAAATTGTCTTAGAAGATCACCATAGTGAGGGCTGAAGCAAAATAATAAGTGTGTACAAAAATAAGTGCACATTATGGGATGATTTTTTTTTACCGTGCCTAATGATAATATTAAAGATAGGTGTGCCAAATAACAATATTAAGATAGCTGGTGGAGAGAGAAGGTCAGATAATAATCTGATATTTCTCTGTCCTGCAACAAAACCTGAAAAGCTCAGGTTGAAAAAGGCCATCAAACCAGGATGCCCTGAACAATCCCAGGCAACTCCAATAACAACTAATATGACCAGGGTGTGGGAAAAGACAGAAACAGCAAAAAAAGACAAGGGCTGTTTTTACCTGGACGCACCCTGCTACTTATAAAAAAAAGTCACTGTTAACTTGTATTATTTCTCTGATTTGTGTACCAGAGTTGTCTATGAAAGGACAAAACCTTTATCCTATCATTTGCTTAGGCGGAGGTTTGGTCCTTTTTTGCTGAGAATGCAATAAATGTGAATGTGACGAATACTAATTTTCACAAATTGCTTATCAACAATTGTAGTTGTATTTCTACATAATGCCAAGTCATAAGCACACAAACAACATTTCACTTTTCACCTTCCGTTATAAGTTTTATAGAATGACTCTTGCTGCTGGATTCAAAGTACAGTTATATTCACATTCATAATAAGCCGATTATTGTCCAATCAGTTCTGACAGACTAATCACCTCTTTGAAGTATACGTATTCCCACCACACTGTCAGTTTTGGGGGAAGCAATATTGTGTGAAGCACAAAAGGGAGGAAGCAATAGCAAGCAAATAAAATAAAATAAATATAAGAGATTTTTAAAAAGAAATGCTGCACCATATGCCAACACCATCCACAATTTCTCTCTATAGTTCTCTATAAATTATCTTTGCTTCTATCAGATCCTTAGAGCAGTTCTTGCATTGTCTTTATTCTCTAAATTTTTTAAGGATCATATCATCTACATTCAAACATTGCTTTCTCAGCTTTCCTTTTCCTCAGGAGTATTGTTTTTTTCATCATGGTAGATAATTTCAGCTTATTTCCCCATACATAAATTTGAATGAACTAATACTCAAGTTAAACCCAGCTCAAAAATCTCATGTGTATGAAACATCCCTGGGAAAATATTTCTTGTTTCAGTGTCTGTACTTAGGTATACAGGTATGTTTACATATGCATGTGATTGAAGGATATCCACAAGGAAAAAGGATTTTCTAGTACCATTTTTCTACCCATCATGCAGTATTATTATGCAGAGTGCAGAAAATGGTACCACTGAACTTTGCTTCTCTTCTACTTAATGTTTAACTATTTGTTGAGCATTCCACTTATTTTCAGGCATTATTTCCATCAGGGAATTTAGCAACAAGTCTTCAACTCATATTTATACAAAATATAACATAATTCAGACCTGCTCACTTTATTATGCACTTTCTCTCTATATACATACAATAAAGTCTCTTTTTCACATTCATACTTTTCCCAGTGACCTGAAGAGCACTAATCTGGTCTGCGAAACTTCTATCTAGCCAAAGTCCAAATGTTGCTCATTCTTATCTCTCATAGTCTTTCATTTGGAGTTCTACCAGACACCTTTCCAGACACACTTAACAACATAGTTTTTACATTCCTTCTTGCTACCTTTGTATACCTTTCAGTCATCGGATATATATTAACCATATACTTTAAAGAGCCTTCCGGTCTTTAGGTACGGTAGATGGTACCTTTCTCTCATTAACATTTCTGTAATTAATGCACTGCTTTTCATCCACACCTACTTCTCTTTATCAAAAATCCCTTTCACATTTTCCAGAAGCATAGCTGTGGCATTTTTCAGCATTATTTTCACTCAGTTCCAAGTACCTTTCACATTTTCCTTCCAGATCTTGTAAGTTAGAAAGATCACTGATCTGCAAATGGCTGTATGTGAGACTGTATTTCTGAAGCTGACTCTACAGGATAAGTTGGGAATACTGCTACTGTACCATTTCTCCCAAATACATGGTAACATCCTTAAACTATTCAGTATTACTGAATGGGCAATTATAAATTCACCCAAACTGCTAATCCTGGATTATTTTAACTTGGGAATCAGCCTCAAGAATTTATAATCACCATTTCAATTTTTGGTTTCTTTCAGATCACATTGGACTTGGCATATATGTCAGAGCAGATCATATGTAATCTGATATTAGGGGATATTTCCATGTGTCCTTTGTCAATTCCTTACGATGATGGGATAGACCATCATCCAGACTTCATAAGAATGATAGGTCCATTCAGAGGTCCACCCTAGGAACCTGGTGTATCACGATACTTCAGGAATTTTCTAAAAAGCCAGAAAGTATTTTTGTTGAAAATCAAATTGGTCTAAATATAGGCAAGCAAGACACTACAGACTCCATACCCCACCCCCCCGATCCAAGTTTAAGTGTGGATAAATAAAAAAAAATAGAATTTCATTACTTCACTCAATTACACAGTTTATTGTTTCCTGTTGTAATCTCATAAAGTATAAATTTGTCCTCTTTCACTTCAGTGAAAGTTCAGTGATTCCTGGTGAGGCTAAGTAAATAACAAGAAACACAGATATTTGAGCTCTTCCAAAATTGTTGCCCATTAGAAAAAGATATAGACATATTAGAGTATGATTCAAATTAAATATTAGAGTGTAATGAATCATTATACAAAAACAAATAACTTCATTTCCTTGGGCATTGTGCTCATCTGTACTAGGAATCAAAAAGGTTCCCACAAATACTACTTTCTTAAAGGCAGCTCCTTAGAGACTGCCAGACTTCCTGCTGCACCTGATTTTAAGTTCATAGTTTAAATTCATATTATTTTTGATTATGAAAAATAATATTCTGCTAATTTGAGCACCCTGCATGATTGCTTTATGTTCTCCAGGACAGTAGTTTTGTTGTGTTGTATTCCTTTTTGGTAGATTAAAAATAATCTTGGGAGAATGTATTTACTTTGAAGTAGTTTGCTAGAAATGCTGTACTTCAAAAACAAATGAAATCAACTAAAGCATTGGACAAGCGATTCCTTATTGTATATAGAAAGCTCTCAATTTTGTATTATAAGATTGTTTCTTGTGTGTGATGTTGCTATGGTATCAAACAAATGAGTACGGTTTTAGAGTTTTCTAAAAGGATGTCTGCTTCAACTGTGTAATTTCTTTTTTAAGAAATTCAGCTGCATTGTCCTTTAATGCTATTTAGTAAAAGCTACAATCTGTTTATATTGGAAATAATAGCAAGGTTTCCACTGCTACTTGCACAGTAAGCAATAGAAGCAATTATAATATATATTAATACAACATGCATGAACATATGGGCCATAAAATAATATAAATTATTTTTGTAGAATCTTTTTAGTGAAAATTTTTACTCATACCTTCTGCCTCTCTGTTAAAGCATTCTCTGCTCCACATTAGCAATTTGTGTTTGGAATTGCTACAGAACTGTTTCTATGTGGGAAAAAAGTATGGATTTATAGAACTGTGAGATATAACAAAAATTCCAAAAAACCAAAACCATACAGTGAGGGAAAATGAAGAAGGCTGAGCTAATTAACAAAGGCATTTTTGTTCTCATTGGTCACGTTTATCCTTGCCAGAGTACAAACAGTACCATATAGGCAACCAAATGTTCCAATATTAACATTGTGATAGTTGTTTGTAGACCTTTGTGGATTGGTAGTAGTTATGTTATTGCCTGATAAGGCTGTTCAGTACTTCTTTGATTATAGATATGTGTTATAACGGTTCAATTATTTCATTATCCTTCCTGTAACTGCAAAACAAAATGAAACAGAGAAGGAGATCACTTCTATTAAGCGATGGTTAGTCCTTACAATGAGCGTCTCTGCATTTGCGGAGCGGCAGAGATAGAAGACCTGGCTCACATACTATTTGATTGTTGCCTGTACAAGAGGGTGAGAGATAGGTACCTCAGTCTATATACCAAACGAATGACTCATTGGGATCCCCATATCAAAACAACTTACCTTATGTGTGGCCAGAACTTGAAAATAACATTTAACGCAGCACAGTATTTAAACAAAACGGTTCGGTTGAGATCTGCATATGTGGGACTGATTGGGGTAGATTGCAAGGGTGACTCCAAGATATAATTTTATCATATTTTGTCTATATTTTAAATTACTGTACTCTATTTTAATTTCATTTTAGACTGTATTTTACTCCAATTTCATCTTAAACCATATTTTACTCTAGTTCCATTTTAAACTGTATTTTATCAAATTTTATTTTAAATTGCTTTTATCAGACTTTGGTAATGATTTGTTTATTTATTTTATTTATTTATTTATGAGATTTATATACCGCTTTAAGTGCAAGCACTCTCTAAGCGGTGTACACCAATAAGCAATGTATATATATATATATATATATATATATATATATATTTACATTGCCCCCAACAACAAGGCTGAGTCAACCTTGAGCTGGTGAGATTTGAACCACTGACCTGCTGAACACAGTCAGCTAAAGTGGCCTGCAGTACTGCACTCTAACTGCTGCGCCACCTCGGCTGTTGCTGGAACTTTGCACTTTGATATGGCCCAAGGGCTAATCATAAAGATTTATTTTTATTATTATTATTAAGTGATGATGTCACTTATTAGTGATTTGCCACAGAGCCAGAATCTTCTGTTAACAGATAGTAATACTAGATTGTACTATGAAATTGTCATTCACTTACTTAAATACAGCATTTTTAAAAATTTATTTAGCCATACTGTATTTTTTTATGAATTTAGTGCTTTAAAGTTTTGTATTCTGATCTTCATCATAATTTATATTGAATAAAAAGCTTTGTTTTTATAAACATAGATAGGAGTGGACAGCAGAACAGTAATATAAATTTAACAGCACTTTTGTTAACCATGTTTCAATTATGCTAAATATCCGTATTATTTCATAGTCTAATCTTCTAGATTGAATAACATTGGATTGAGGATAGATGTCACCGCAGAAACATTTACAAACACCGTAGGTAGATTTATATATGTCTATAAGTTAAACACTATTATTGCAAAAAACAAAACAAAAATGCTGTAATAAATTAATCTATACATACAAACAAAATTATTACACAAAAACAAATCAACTTCATTCTTTGGCATTGAGCTCATCTGAATTAGGAGTCAACAAAATACCCACAAAGCTTACTCTCTTAAAAAGCAACAGCTTGGGGGTTGCCAAACTTCCTGCTACGCTTGATTTTAACATTTGTTTGGATTTTTTTCTTTTTAAATCATGTGAATCCAGGGCCAATTCCCAAAACTGATTTTAAAAAGAAAAAAAACACAACTTCCTCCTGAGTCCATATATCTTAAAGTATCCAAATTTTAAAAACACTGTTCTATAGTCTCTGATCTATCCTTTGTCTAACCCACATTTTCGTAACTATAGTTAACCGTTATGTGATTCTTTTTCCCCCATTTTTCTTCCTAAAGCTCTCCCACAAAGCACCTGCTGAATTAATGCCTGATTCATAATGATTAGAGATCAGTCAGAGTCATCAGGAACTGTCCATTCATAAGAGATAACTTAAATTCTCAAGCTAATTGTGACTGCTAAACTAGGCTTGTTTGGTTCTTCAAAGTCATGATTTGGTTTCTATTTAATATTTGTTTTAATATTTTTTCTATTTAATATTAATATCGTGTTTAATATTTCCACCATTGTAGAAGTTATGAGTTCTAGCCTCATAATTGAACCTGGCTTTAAAAACTGAGAATGAACAAGGATAGGCAATTATTGCAGAGTTGAAGGCCAAATTCCAAAAATAGATGGAGAAGGGAAAACGTTACTGTAGTCACCAAACAAATTTGTAATTTTGAATAAGAATTTCTAAAAAGCATTCAGCACACTGTATTGTGAGATGAAATAAGAAGCTTACTAATTATGAATTATTTCAATCCTATTGAGGGAAAGCCAATGTAGAGTCAAAGATATGTGAAAATTTTACACATAAGTGGTTCTGCAACAATTAAACATTATGTTAATCTTAACATGTCTTAGCTTCAACGTTCCCTTTTAACCCTTTTTTTAAAATGAAAAGGCTACTTTGTATGAATTTTCTTTCCCTATCCAGCACTTTCATGTTTAATGAATCTGATACCACATGGCCTGATACAGATAAAATAAATGATTTTCATTAACTTTTTAGTGTTATTGTTATTGTTACTATTAGCGCTTTTACTTTTTATATAACAATCATGTCTCTCTGAGATCAGGATCAAAGGCATTCAGCCTTCTCCCCAAACCATGATTGGTCTGTTATAGAAGCTTTCACTTTCTTCAAAGGAGAAATTTGCTGTTGAGAATTCTTTCTCTTTTATATCAGTTCTCATAACTTCCAGGATGCTATGGAACATAAGAAAATAAGATTTAGGGGAAATGCTCTTATTTTTAATGTTTTTCCCACAGAATAGACAAATAAATGAGAAGTATTTTTTTTTCTAATCTGAAGTAAAAAAAAAAATCTTCAAAGCTTTTTTTCTGACTGCAGAATGAAAAAGATTTCTTTAGATAATGGAGAATTTTAATATAATTTAAATGATGAATTTAGGTTGTATATAGTATATTTATGTGTCATCTTCCAATCATTCAGAGCAGAGCAGAACAAAAGCCAGGATGTTTTCTTCCCACTGTTGAATAAATCTATTCTCCTCTTTCACTTTTCAATTTGTATGTCTACCTTCCTCTGGTATGATTAAGTGTTTTGGGATGGCTGAAGTGTCAGAAGATGTGTACTTTTGTGTATGGTAGTTAGTTTATGCTTCAGGCTCCAGTTTCAAGGAGTTAAAGTAATGGCTTTTATGTTTCTTGAAATTCCATTAAAGGGAACAATCAAAATTATTACTCCTCTTAATCTTGTCAAAATACTAGATTCCAGTGTAGTAAAACAAGAAAAATTATGGAAACTTGTTTGAACCTCAATAAGACAAGTAAGTGAAATGCACCCTGTGGTTTGAATTTTATTAAAAGACTGAACATAGAACATCTAGTATGGAAGGTATCTATTGTATACCTCAAGAGTCTCAATAAGGACAAAACCAGTAATATAGACTGCAACTCACTTAGCAACTGTTTTGCTCATCCTAAAGCTAGGAAGAGATCATGATGGGGGATCCAGCTACATAAAATGATCAAGCACTGTGGAGCATGAAAATCCAGAATACTGAGTTTTTAAAAAGTATGGATAAGTTAACCACTAATAAACAATTCATATGAACATAGCTTGAAAAAAAAGAAGAATAGTGATTCACTTCCCACATTATGATTGAAGAAAAGAAGGATGCTATCTGCATTTTAGCTGCTGTTCTTTCTTCAAGTGTTATTTTTGTTGATACTGTAGCTTTTGCCTTCCACTTTCCATGGCATAGGAACCTTATAGATCTGCTGGTCAGATTTCCTGACTCAGGACTACAATAACTCTCCTGGAATGTTCACTTGCTTTAACCTGTGTTTCCAGAAAAAGCTTGGGTGCAATTTGAATATATTCTGCAAGTTTATGGTCAGCATTTTTATTACAAGTGAGTTTTGATACATCCTTACTAAAGCTTCCATTTACATTGAGTAGAAATAAATAAATTGGAAGATGCCATTTTAGTAGTAGCATTATTTACTCAGATTTCCTAGTAAGTTTTACATCTGTAATGATAAACTGTTTTGAAGTAGAGTGTAGACCTTCAACATTTAGCTTGCAAAGATCAGCATCTGGTGGTCATTTGGACTTTTGCAGGCCAGATATGGTAAATTTTCCGAAGTGTTCAAAGTATATCAATTGACACTATTCAGTCCTAACCATCCAAAGTAAATCTTACCAAATTCAGTAAAAATTGCAATCTATACTGTCAACTGACTTTCATGTTTAAGGCAGAACTAAAACTTCAAATCTTCTAGTTTCTATCCAGGTACCTAAACTTTTCCAACCCGGCCTATTATATCAATTGGGAAAAGGGCATTGTAGAGATTACTGTTTACCCATACCTGCCAGACAAAAAGAAACCCAAGTCCTACTGTGTTGCCAGTAACCTGAAAAAAAATATGTAATAATAAAATCTGCACTGGATATAATTAACAATGAATAAGTCACCAATTAACTTGTCAAAGAACATATCTTATTCTCCCTTTCCCCTCCATTCTCTTCATTTCATATGTTGTGTCTTTTTAGATTGCAAAGCAGAGGACAGAATCTTTCTCTCCGAACTACTTTGAAAGATTGTAATTATTTGAAAAGTCAGGATAAAAGAGCAAGTAAATAAATAAAAACAAATAATTTTAAAAATTCTTCTGAATTGTTCTAACCTAATAAAATATAAAAAGTTTAATGTGTTTTGTGTATCACTCCAAGCCAGGGGTCCCCAACTCCCGGTCCATGGACGCTGTGCAAATAAGCGAAGCCCCATCCGCGGGATGCAGGCAGCACATGAAACCATGCTCCTTCCGGTCCGCAGAAAAACCTCTCTCCATGGAATTGGTCCCTGGTGCCCAAAAGGTTGGGGGCCTCTGCTCCAAACTATTCAGCAAAAGAAAACTTTAAATCATGCTGAGTAATCAAATTAACAGTAAGTAGTTGATCGACATTTTATCATGGCCTCACTAATTTCTTCGTCTTGTCTTCATCTACTTTTTATTGATTTTAATGCATTGTCTTTTCTTGTAAGCCACTGAGAACCAGTCTCAAATGGAAAAACAGAGAAATCTTAGTAAGAAATAAATAAATCCAAAATTATTTTAAGTGATGAAAATAACAAGGATGGTACGAAAATGAATATATTTTGGAAAAAATGTGTATAAGGAAGTATCTCTGCAATTCATGTGGTAATATCAGACATATGATATATATTGCTGTAGCATGAGATATTCATTCATGCTAGCCAAGTAAGAAATATTTGATAAGTATCCCAAGCATTGGCGAAATCTAGCTCTTTTATAATCTATATCATTCTTGTTACCTCTCTGAAGTGCTGATTTTCAGTTAAAAGGAATTTTTAGTGGATAAAAGAAGGAAAAATGGACCCTTTGTGCTATTCATTCATTTGACAGATTTTCTCAGACTGGCAGCCAGCCCTCACATTAAAGCCTTTGCTCTTGTTGAATGTCTTTGCTGGACAGGGTTCCTGTAGGACTGGAAAGCTGCCATAGATATGAAGTTACCAAGCAGCAGCAGCTTCATAACAGCTTATATTTACAGTATTTTGATAAACTGGCCGGGTCTTTCTCTGCTGGTAATTGCTTCTGAATAAATTATCCTTACTCAATGGCTTTCAGGTAAATAAGTGGTTTATGTCTGTTATTTGGAAAAGAGGATAGGCAGTACATAATGATTAAAGTAGTGAATATTTATTGAACAGAACTGGAGAAACAAGAAAGTGTAATAATGCATCATCAACTGTCTTTTACCCCAAATAACAGTTTATTTAACAAATGTTGTTAAATAAATGGCTTTATAATGTTGTCCCCAACATATACTAGCAGTCTCCTCATGCAGAGATTCAAGCAAGTAGTTTATAGTTATATAGTAATTCACAGTCTATGTAACATTCATGAATTAAACATATGCATGGAGAGTTTTCTTCGGGAAATTGGTGTCTGCCAGTCTGGTGCCTTACAGTATTATTTATTTTCCATTATATTTATTAGATAATTCAAAACATTCAAAAGTCCTACTGCAGTCCCCCAATGCAGACATCTTTTAGGTATCCTGTTAGATAAAAAAATAAATGCATAACCTGAAGAAATAATGTGAAAATATTAGAACAGAGATATTTTATTTGCCGTATTATGAATGTGAAATCATAACTACTATGCTTTGTGCTATCTGTAAGAATATTTTATACCATATTTACAAGAAAGAGTAATCAATTGTCTTTCAAATGGGATAATTGTCAATGAGAACACAGGAATAGAAAAGAACAAATCATATTCTGGGAGGTTTTTTGCAGTTGTATAAAACAATGTACAAAATTCAGGATTGCTTTCCTTGTGAAAAATTAATTTCTTGCTTTAGAATTTTATCCTGCAAAAATGTTACAACATAATTTATCTTTTCCCAGGACAAACTGTCAACTCGTAACACATGAACAGCAAACACTGTAATAACACAATGCTTTTGATAACAGTAGACAGAACAAGGAGAAACTGAAGAGCTATTTCTCAAAAAAGCTTTTGAGGCTGGGATGACAAGAAGCCATTGATTCACTTTTTGTAGAGGCCAGTACAGATAGTCCCATCATTAAGGTTGTGCGATCTACTTAATCAAAAGGGGCTCTCTTAGGAAGTGTAATTAGCATTTGAAGTATAATTTGCTATTTAATGAATACTCCTTTTCATCTGCAATTACTCAGAGCAATACAAGATTCCCTTGGGCCCTCACCTTTTATCACTAAAGAGATCAAATACTGTTCACCCAACTTTATTTTGTGGAGGCCTTTTTTCTTATGCAAATATATACATCATCAGATAGCTAGGCGCTGTAGCACAAACTGTACTCTGGATTACTCTGCTGAAGGCCTAAAATGGGGATATTTGTGTCCCTAAAAGTTGCTTACATATTATAAAAGTTTGTCATATTTCTTTTCCTCACTAGTTGTACTACAGTAGTACCTTAAAATGGATGACAGTCATCTCAAGGAAATACTATAGTATTTGGTACTTTGAAATTAAGAATAGATAGGAATTCATTATGGAAACAACTTAATCAATCATTCAAAACATAAATGATTAATGACTAGGCTACTAGTTTTTTTTAAAAGTAATGGTTTTACTTTATGTGGTGGAGAAAAGTGTTCCATATTCCTTAACATTTTCTTGAGAAGCTGGAGAAAGGGGGGGTTCTGCTAGCATCAAAACTCACAACATGATGTGGAAAATGATACATGATTAGTAAAATTGTGCCTCTAGTCCAATCATCAAAATGAAAAATGATGCTTTCTTTTTTAAAAGAACATTAGGAAAGTGAAGTTAAATTCATGAATTGAAAATTGAAATTAATTTCTTGTAACATAAAATAAATGATTTTTATCTTTTATCTATCTAATCTACTTTTTCCATGTGGAGCAATAAAGACTGAAAAGCAGAGGCTCCATTTACAAGATGGCATATATAAAGCAAAGGTAAGGGTAGACAGTGTTATTTGAAAAAGAAATTGGTGGAAAACAGACTTACACTTTACTTTCTGAGCAAGAACAACTAATAGTCTGATCTGCAAGCTGTTTCTTATGCGGTATGTATGCTTATTTTAAAAAGGTCTTTTGGAATATTACATAGATTTAAGCAGAAATGTATGACTAAGGAAAATATTATAAATTATTTTAGAATTAGTGCTATAGATTGATGACAGAATGCTGAAGTGACTCTCATCAATCAGACCAATGTTGAATTTATATAACAACTATAATTAACATCTGATATGAAACGATAGCTGTGTGAGTAATATAAATTCATTTACATAATCTGCAGCAAATGACAATGATTTTTGTACAAAAGTGCTGGAGCTATTTTTTTTAATGAGAATTATATTTGTCACTAGAATAAAATTAATATTCATAAGAGAACAAAATATTCATGGAGACAAAAAGAAATCATAGCATACTGTCAGTGATATAAGTTTGATAAAGTTAAGCCTACAGTGAATAAGGAAATTAGTTTCAGAAATTGCAATTGCACTTTGAATGCATGAGATTTTTTTTAAAAGCTTGCTCATTTTCTCCATGTCTTCTTCTTCCATGGCTAGAATATAGTTCAATTTTTAAAAAAGTTTAAACGTGCACATTACATTTTTTGCTTTTTATTAGTTTCAGAGTGGAAGATTTCATTTTTTATATATTGTGCTGGGTTACTTACAGGCACTTGATACATACGCAGAAGTGAATTCCTGAGATTTTCAGCATTATAGAAAAGCAAGTTCTTTTACTAGTATTTACATATCTTTGGGAGAATGATGATGCTGGTTTTTCTACTCTGGGTCATTTTGGCTCGAGGCTTTGCAGTTCCTTGCAGTCCAAATAAAGCAGGTAAAATAATTGATTTTTTTTTAAAAAAAGAATCTAGCTATATCTTCCACATGCCTCTTCATATTTGATGGTTAACAGAAACATATACAGTAACGTATCTTATGTTCGGAACTATTCATATAGAATGTATAATGGTAATAGTGTATGAAATTTAATAGCACTTTATAAAGGATACAAACCAGCCCAAATTTAAGTTTTGTTAATTTTATGGTTTAAATATCCCACTGAAGGCAATGGGATCTTACACAAAGGACCTAACATTGAATAGAGGCCATTGTAACTGCAATTTGCTAGTAGGTATTTTATTACTATTATTCAGTACTTGAGATGTTAAACAGAACTTTGTGCATAAAGGAATGATTAGTTTTTCCTTTTCAAGTACATGTGGAAACAAGTCCTATCCATTACAAAAAAGCCAAGAATAATTTCCAGAGCAATGAATGGGGTGATTTTTGCGGCACCTAAACATTTATTGTGTTGTGAGTCTGTACATCATGTAATGGACAGAACACAATTGATCTTGGCCCAAATGTGCCATGTTTTGGGTCCATGTGGCTGTAAGACTAAAGTAGAATGTGAACAGTGACCTGGCTACAGTTCTACTGATTTTTTTACACTTGTAGTAAATTGTCCCCCTTACCATTAAGATTCTCACAGAAGGAATAGCAACCTGGTAGTCCCCTAAATGAGGCGAAGACGTATAAGTGATATATTCATTCTGTTCTTTTACCGTTTATGGAAATTACTTGTGTATATGCTTTTGCATGGTATGCTGTACAGTTCAGACATATATTCTTGCTTGTAAAATTAAGATAACCGTAAGATCAGACACGATTAATAATCTGCCATAAAAAGAAGTCATAAATTGTAGGTATCACTAGTCCTATTTACATGTATATGTTTTTTTATAATTTCTAACCATCAGAGAAGACAAGATGTGCAGACTCTGTTACTACATTTATCTCCCATATTTGCAATAATACTGTCTTATTCAATACATTAGAGGCATTAGAATGAAGTTTGAGTTGCTTATTGGGGTATTAATTGTGGAAGCTAATAATAGAAGATACTGAAAGCTTAATTTGAATCAAAGCTCAAGCTTGTAATCATAGAAAGAGCATTATCTCCCTTGAAGTAGAACTTTGCTGCATAAATGTATTTACTTTTTTTGTTTGTTTGTTTATTTTAGATGTAATTTTGGTATATTGTTATCCTAAAACAATTATTACAAAAATCCCAGAATGTCCCTATGGATGGGAAGTTAATCAACTGGCACTCGGAGGGATTTGCTATAATGGGATTCACGATGCAGGATACTATCAATTTATCATCCCAGATTTGTCACCCCAAAACAAATCATACTGTGGAACACAATCAGATGTAAGTAGCTAATGTGTTAACATTCCATTTTCCATACATGATTATAATTGTGCGAGGCATATGGGATATATTTCATAAGATTTTATTAAAGTACTATGTTATACATTTGAAAAAGAATTGATACAAATTTTCCAGCATGTTTATATTTTCAATATATAGATAACTAAAGATAACTAATTGATTTGCATTTATATTAAACTCAAAGTCACTTGTTGTCACCCCTTGCTCTGATATTTTAGCTATACTTACGATTTGACTATCCGATGCCTGGTAAAAGAAGAAAAGGGACTAAACATATATTGTAGACATGAACCATTTTTTTTTTTATCTGACCAGTACTAAAAATTTATATCAACTTGACAACTACTTTATTGCATTGCTGTTAGGAGTACCCTTGTTACAGCCGTGTTATTTAATACCACTAATGAACATGTTTGATGCAAATTCTACTTTTATTTTATTTATTTCCAATGAAAAGTTAAGAAGTCAGAGGCATGGTGCTTACATATGTGTAATGTACACACATATACCAGAATTAAAGCTAGAATTATCCTTGATTTCCCAGCTATGTTTCCATACCATCTACCAACAATCGAGAGCCAAGGAAAAGTGCAGGATATCCAGTTCTATGTTTTTTTATGTACTTCAAAATGGATATGTTTAAGGTTGCAATATCTGAACTGGCAATCTAACTTTCAGTATTGGATTCACAATAAATGTTTATACTTTATTGACCTAATGGAAAGCTAGAAAGAAATACCATTTCTTGTGGTCACGGTTTATCGCTATCCTTACAAATATTTGTTTTTGCCTTTTTTTAAATTCACATTTTTCAATGTTTTTGTTTAATTTTGTTTTGTCTCTGTTCAATTATTTTTTCTATTGGATTTTGGATTTTAATCTATTGAATAATATAAAATTGTTAAAAAAAATTAGTTTTTTTCCATGGGTTTGATAATTTTTTTTCCTACTTTTCTTTATTGTTGTTCTTTGTATGGGGACTCAGTTTTTCATGAAGTGAAGAAATATCTATTAAACAAAATAAAACATACATAAGTCCAGACAACCGATATAGGCAGCAAAGTATTAGTTTTCTGTGTCCGTTTGCTGCCATCTGGCAGTCACCAGGCACTTACGATAACTATGTAAGATGGCCTTCTCACTCAGCAATCCTGGGCAGCTTACAAAACAAATAAAACATCATTAAAACAGAAAGTGCAAACTAATAAACATATATGATTGCAACACTAAATTGTTAAAAGACCTGGCTGAATAAGTTCCTCTTGCCTTGTCTTCTTTATTTTCTTATCTTTTGTCTCACCCCGAGCTGTGGTGTTGATTGAGCCTAAGAGACAGAGGATGCTTTTATTGTCTGTTACTGTTTTATTGTTTATTTTATTGTCATATTGTATAGAAAGCTTCAGTGTCTAATTTTTGTTAGTTGTGTTTAATTTACTGCTTGCTTTGTTCTAGTTTTATTATCAACTGCTCTGAGATTTTTAATGGAATTGAATGTACAAATGTTTTCAAATGCATTTATTTAAAATAAATTTTAAACTTTAAAATACATTTTAAAGAAGTGGATTTATGCGGCGGGTTCTTTAGAAAGCAAACTTGTGCTTATTTCTTGTATCTTTGTGTCCTTGTGAAATGGCTTGATTCTGTTCTGTTGGAAACTCAACACATTTAAAACTGAATTAATGACGGAACCATTTAAACTAAAATTGCATTTGCATCTTTTTCTTCACATGCAGTTTAAAAACCCTGTCTATCATTTCTACAACTCTATCACTTCCAATGATAGCACTGTCATTGTGAAAAGCCAGCCTGTCAACTATTCTTTTACCTGCACCTATCAGGCAAACTATCTGGTGAACCATGCTGCCTTTGACCAAAGGTAACACTGCCCCAATTCACTGGAATTTCATCCTCTAGCAAATGTTTCACTCTATTTTATAAAGCATAGGAATCAGTTCTGTGACATTTTCTGCCTCTTTTAGAGTGGCAACTGTTCATGTGAAGAATGGCAGTGCCGGTTCCTTTGAAAGCCAGTTGTCTTTAAACTTCTATTCCGTAAGTACAGTGTGTATGCTGATTGCTCAGTAAATTTCTCAGTAGTATAGTGAATAAGGCAAGGATGTTGTAGCATCTTTAAAAAGCTAAGTTTCTTGGGTAGTTGTTCCAATTCATTGAATATTTATAAAATATTACTATGCTAAAATACTGCTTTGAAATATCATCTAGCAAATTTTATTTTCCAGATCTTGGTAGATTCGCAAATGTTGCCATAAATGATGTGCATTATCAATCATCATATATTGACTCTCAACTAGTTTTATTGCCAAATTATAACTAAAACTGATTTATTTCTATTGAGGGTTCTATGAGAGTATTGGTTCACAGGTGTTGGTTCCACCTTATAAACTTCTGTGACCTCAGATCTCCCGATATTTTGGGAACATATGTAATTGGTAGGCTATCATGGAAGATTATTTTGCAAGAACATTTGGGAAACATTTTTCCTCCTTACTTTCATTTATGAAAATCAGATTCATTTACATAAGTCATCATTGATACTCTAGACATCGCGTGATAATAAGATATATTTATGATATATGTATGCTTATATTTGTTAATTTTATATCTTCATCTTAAAGACAATGTTTATGGTTATTTTCATTAATATTATGCAGTGGAAGTCAGATCTTTAATTCAAGCCAAGATTAGAGCTACAGAGAGTTACATGACACATAGCCTGACAACATATTGCTAATTTAAACATACGGTGTTTGAAATGATGTGATGTAATGTGGTTACACTACCACGTCTATGGTTACACTACCACTTCTATGGAATGTTATAGTTCATTTACCCTGGTGCATTTGGGTGAACATTCGTACCAACTCAAGGGAGATAGTTCAGGTCAAAAAAACAAAACAAAAAGAACAAGTACAATTTATTAAGGAACAAATGTGCTTCAATAGAAATCATCTGTGGAAATTAGCAGTCCTCCAGGTCACGGTTGTCCCAGAGGTGCTTTTTCAAAAGGCAACTGGACTTTGTTTTTTCTTGAAGATGTTTCACTTCTCATCTAAGAAGCTTCTTCAGTTCAATAGAAATCCTAAATATATGAGTTTTCTATTTTCATGGTAGAGAAGAAAGTACTCTGTTTTTCTTGGATGAAGCAGGCTGAGGGAAGAAACAAGTAGTTATCAGGAGTCAAACAAGAAATGCAAAATATAAAAATGAGGCTCAGAGGCAATCTCTTGACTAGTATTGCTGTTTCTAATTACTCCTTAGTAGACCCCAAGATTAAACAGTGCAAAGCATTCAAGCTTATGAACTCCAATCTCTGCCAAATTCACCATTTGAGGAAAATGAAAATGAATCCCACACCCAAGTATCTTGTCAATGTGACACCAAAGGCATTCTTCTTCTCTGAAGCAATTTTTGTAGTTTATACAAAACATCACCGTATATTAATAGTATGCTATGCAGTGTGTATCATAGTTTGTATATTGGCATTTTCAAACTACAGAGGCACTGTTCTTCAATTTAATGTTCCGTAATAGTGGTGCAAGAAGCCATTAAAAAAAGACAGTAACCAAGTTAGAGGCATTGGACTGAATGCCCTTTTCCTTTTATATGAATGTTATTTTCAGAATTTGGTATCAGCGCATGTTACTTAAATGTTCTCACGTCCCAATATACCATCTCTGACAAAGAATGGCCTAGATTTTGTTTTGAATTATTTAAGAAGTTAGATATCATTATAATTTTGAGATTTTTATTGTGAAGATAAACAGGTGAGATAACTGATATTTTCTTGTGTACTCCAGGGTAATATCTCAATAATGTTGAAATTTTGATTTCTAACACATCTAAAGTAAAAGCTTATTAAATTATTATGTAAGTATCTGTGGGTCTTAAGGTCTGCAGGAGTCTGGGTTGATCCTTGATAACCAAGACAATCCATTAAGCAGAGTGAAATGACAAAGGAACACAAAATAAAACTTAAAGGAATTCAAAAGGGCAGCAAATGTTTAATTTAATTTATTAATTTAGTTCAATTTATTTTGTTTAAATGTTGTTTATACAACAACAGCAACATTCTACTTCAAGAGGAAAGTCATTTTCTATCTCAGTTATAAAAATAACTTGCTCATTATGATGCAATGTGTTCTAATAATAAGTGGAGATTACATCTGTTGTTTCAGTTCAAGCAGCAAGGAAGATCATTAGGCAGAGTTTCATATGTCACAGAAGGGTAGCAGATGGTTAATTGTTAATTGTTAATTATTATGAAACTTCAGCTGCCAAAATAATTTGGCTGGCCTTAGATACTCTGAGAAAGTATGACTTTCATTTGCTGCTCCTGCAGCAGAAAATAAAATAAAATAAATCACCTTACCCTGTTTTTTTTATCTCAGAATGCCAAGTTTTCAAACAAGAAGGAAGCCCCTTTCATTGTTGATACATCAGAAATTGGCTCTGATGTATTTGCTGGAGTGGAAGCCAAAGGCTTAAGTCATAGGTATGATTTTTTTATATCCATGGCTCCCAACACAATATTATTGTTCTGTCCGTGCTCATGTCTCTTTGTCCTTTTGTAGATTTAAAGTAGTGTTGAGCAATTGCTGGACAACCCCTTCCTCAGAATATTTCTACCAAATCCAGTGGCCTCTGATAACTAAGGGGTAGGTAATTCATTCATTCTCTCCACCAGTGGTACTCCACTGGTTAAATATATCTTAATTCTATTTATTTGCTTATTAGATTTATATCTCATCTGTTTCTTCCTCATTTTAATAATATCTGTTATTTGTTTGGCATAGGTGTGCAACAGATGACTCCATTTTAGTACATGAAAATGGCAAAAACAATCGAGCCACTTTCCAATTTAATGCATTTCGGTTCCAGAATATTCCCAAACTTTCCAAAGTATGGCTACATTGTGAAACATATGTGTGTGATAGTGAAAAATTCTTCTGCCCTGTGGTATGTTCTTTAGATAATAGTTAACGATCAAATCTAGATTCCCAAAACAGGATACATGAACCGGAAAAGACAATCCAGTGTACATACAAATACATTTCAATACAGCATTAAATCAGTTTTAAAGCGATTTACCTTTTTGTTATGACTTACATTAAAAGCCTAAGCCTTTATGCTTTGTGGTTCCAGATACGTTATATTTCTAGTTCTATACTCCATCTTGCATTTTTGCTAGGGGATTACGGACTTGATCTTGAATATACCAAAATGACATTGGTTAGTGGATCTGAGGATTTGCTTTAATGCTTCTGCAGACAATAAAACTTGGATTTGGGTGTAGAAGTATCACCGTAACATTCCTTTGCTAAGTTTTATAGCTGCTTGAATAAAAGCTATATCTCAGACTAACATACATTACAATGTGAATTTCATCTATATAAATGTAAGTTTCATCTGAATAAAAATGGAAAGGAATAACTTGTGATATTCACTAGAGGGTGCTAATGCATTGTTTGTGATAGTGTTGCCCTATACTGTTTAGAAAGCTATCTGGGTATATAAGTGTTCTGTGTCTCATCAAGAATTACCATTTATTTGGAAATCAATAAAAGAGTTGTATAATTTACTGCAAGTAACCACTGTAAGTAAATTTATTGTTTGTGACAGTTCTACATCTATAGCCTTATCTATAATTTCTGAAGTTTCGGTTTGAGATTCCCTTTATAAAAATCTTACGCAGAAGGCATTGTGTTCATTGACTTATATGTCAATGCATGCGACTGAATGTTATATATATTTAACCAGTAAAATTTTAGAGACATCCATGCTGTCTTCTTGATAACAATAGAGAAATGGTTTGGCGTTGCCTTCTCCTAGGTAGGCTGACTTCCTTCATCCCTGCTTCATTTCAGTTACTCTTATTAGGGATTGTTTGTAGCTTCACCTCATCCTTCTTGACCTTATCAGGAATTTCTACCTATAATAATGTTGCTCTCTGGGTTGCTGAGTCCTTCCAATATCTCAGATAATTCTCACGGAGGGATCGTGGTACTTTTTTTTTGCTTCTGTTCAGTTGTGTCTGATCCTTGAACTTTGCCTAGACAACTCCCTGCAGTGACCTTGGCAATGTTTTTCAGAAGCTTCCTTTCTAGGGCTCAGAGAACGTGATTGTCCCAATATCACCTAGCTGGCTTTGTGCCTAATATGGGACTAGAACTTGCAGACTCTCCGTTTCTAGCCTGATGCTTTAGCCACTGCATCAAACTGGCTCTTTAATGGTACTTAATTCTCGCCAGATATACCAAGGATGAGGTTGCTATCTTAACTTTATTCCATGATACTGTTGCTAAAGATCTGTAAAAATGCTCTCAAAATGCTTAAAAGAAGAGAATCTGTATTTTTTGGCTGGTGAAAGGAAATAATTTGTCTTTTTGTTGTTATTGTTCTCTTTGAGTTCTATAGCTACTTAGGATGCATACTTTTTATAAACTGGGATTAACTATTTTAATCGACTTTTTTTACTCTTTTTAAGGCATGTGCAAAACGAAGAGAACATATGGAGCAAACAGGTGGAGTTTTAATTGCAGAATTCATTGTAAACAGTAAGTTCTAATGTTTCTAATTAAAGTGGGAATGGTTTACCAGAAGAGGCTTGTTCCTTCACATGAAAAGAATTGCTACAGTCATTCGCTTTCGTATTCCAATTACACATTGTTTATCCATATAAACAAACCATTCAAACACACCCACACAGAGATATCTTGCTTCAGACTTCATACCCCACCCTTGTTCTGTAATCCACATTTACTATGTCCTCCCTCCCATTTTCTAGTCTTCCTTCTATAAAACAGTTGGATGATCACCAGCTCTGTTCTCCTGGAACTGTCCCACCATCATATGCATCAGTAATAAAGTCAATTTCATTTTTCCTTTCCTGAGTGGAATATTTCATAGCAAAGAAGGTTTACTTTGGGCCACAGAGGTCTGGAAAGAACAAATCCAAGCTCACATTTCACTTGGAAGAGTGCTAAATTTTTCTGAGAAGGAGAAAAAATATAAGACATAAACTATATATATCAGCAGTGGGTGCATCCTAGCGTTACTCTGACTTCTGGCTACCTCTCAACTGATTCCCTGATTAAGGCAGAAACAGGGAACATTTAAACTGAATGTGGACTATTATGATCCACTTTCAGAGAGTCTTGGATTCAGATGCATTCCAAGATATTGAGGAATCCTGCAAGGTGAAATTAAGATAGCCTTGTAGCATAAAAAAATGGACAGCGGATTAATGCAGTTGATCAAGTCAAAATAGGTAAGGAAAAGTTGTTTTATAATGACTCTAGTCAGACTAAAGTATTTTTTTAATTCAGAAAGTTGTTTGTAGGGATAGCTGGGATGAGCTGTTTGAGAATTTTGTTTACTCTTAACTAGAAAGTGTAATGATCAGCCACTCCGAGCACTATTTAAAATGAAATTTCAAATTCAGCTATTAAAGTTTTCTGAAGACGCCATTCTTTTTAGAACTGATGTAACTTGTATTGATAATATTGTATACTTTGTTAATCTAAAATACTTTTTCTTGTTTCACACAGGCAAAGGATTATCCAGGCATTACACATTATCAGGTAGAATTTAGCAATACTATAATTGAAAGATTAATTGCAATCCGGCTAATACTATACAAACAATAGGACTGTGTAATGCTTCAGTTTGAAACTGAAAAGTTGCTTCAGCATATGTGGGAACCTATAGGCATCACCTGCCAACAGGTTATACACCTGTTTCACTGAGTCACTGACATTTTGACAGATCTTGGGAAAAGGTGCTGCTCTTTTAATCAGATGGTGGATTCACATTCCTGCATATTGTGAAGCAACTTTTACAGCAACTTTACAGCCCTAATAGGTAACAAATGAAGACTGTTGTTTTAAATCAGGGGTGTCAAACTGCCGGCCCATGGGCCGGATATGTCATGCCAAAACCGCGCCCACCCCATCGCTGGCAATGGAAAAAAAGTTGCAATATATCGCGGCACGTCACATGACATTGCGAGTTCAACACTTCTGTTTTAAATTAAGAGCACCAGGGCATTGCTTTGTTGTATATACTTTCTATGTTACATAATATTTCTCACAGCTTGACAAATTTTCAGGCAAAACTCATTAAAATTAGAAAAGATTTTACATGATACTATCCTGTTAACATCACAATCTTGATAGGGAGTTGTCTGCATGACATGACATGTCATGAAACATAATTTAAAATTCCTGATCAGATTCTAATATTTTTTTCTCACTAGAAGAGTTCCTGACAGCAAAGGTAGGCAGCCATCATCCATATTCATAGGAGCTGTGGTTAGAATGCAATATTTCAGGCTTACTCTGCCCACAGCCTAGAGTTCAATCCTGATGGGATTGAGGTTGATTCAGCCTTCCATTCTTCTGAGGTCAGTAAAATGAGGACCCAGATTGTATGGGACAATACACTGATATTATAAACCAGTCGGAGAGTGCATTAATAAAGCACTATAGAGTGGTATATAAGTTCTTAAACTGCTATATGGCACTCAGAGATTGCATCACAAAATGTGCAGCTGGACAATGTTTCGTTGCTGGTTGTTTGTTTCAAAACTTGCAGATGGAATGGCAGTAGGTATCTACTGGCTGGCAAATGACTTCAGGTCCTATCTGTAGCCTCCCAACTAGATTTTCTGAAAAATTAGCTGAAATTGCACTACCAAGAAGCATCCGTTTCAGTGCTGAAAGTTAGTATTGTAATGGAATCAGAGTAATCTTTTCATGTCATTTAAAAATGGCCTCCCACAGACCTTCAGAGAGTGAGCAAGCAGCAGCCCCAGCTCTCAGATATTGTTCTGAGTACCGGCTTACTACATTTCCCATAGTCTTCCATATAGAACATAGATATCACTGGATATATTTTTTTACTCAAATAAATAAACTCAATAATAAATAATTAGTACCTTCACTATGAAAACCAGTTTGGAGTAGTGGTTAAGGCACTGAGTTGGAAACTGAGAGACTATGAGTTTTATTTCCACTTTAGATACAAAACCAACTGAGTGACTTTGGGTTGCTCACTCTGTCTTAATCCTAGAAAGGAGAAAATAAGACGGAAGTGGCAAACCACTTCCAAAAATCTGTAGGGAGCAGACCAGATAGTTACCTGGAGTCTATATTGGTTTGAAGGTACAATACTTTTGAAAGTACAAGAATGTAAACAGATGTGACAGAGACTGTGTGGTGACAGTTGCTAATGACTTATATTCTTTCTATTTGTCTTTCTTTTGCAGTTATTTCCCATTTATTCCTGCTACTTGGAATTTGTGTAGTTTTAATATAATATCTGATCCAACTTGAACTGTTAATTATACTGTGGTTCTCTGTTGCCTACTTCAAAATTTTGCATAAAAATAATTCTGTGTGATCTAAGAATAGTGATTTGTGTTCAATTATAATATAATATAAATTTCTTGTTTTCTGAGCAAGAGAATAAAGATATTTAATATCATTTACAACTATTTTTTCAAATGTTAGTCCAAAGAAAAGGCAGCCTTTTATTTAATTTGTGAACCAAGCATCTATCTCTTGAATATTGTGACTATCAAGAAAACTACATTGCAGAAATAAGCTAGTTATTGCTAGTACAGTTTCTTAAAGAATACAATAAAAAAATAATTGAATTAGCAGACTAATGCCTAGAATATAGCTGTTCTTACCTCAAAGTACTTTGTAATTTTCAAGATAAATGGATGTATACCAGTTTTGTTCTATAATTAGATCTTATCTAATTAGATCTTATGTTAGAGAAGCCTTGTGTACAACCAAGACCACAGCCCATTATTGTGTAAAGTATATTTGTATTAAGGACTAGATTCACATATCTTATTAAGCCATAAACCATGGTTTCTGGACCATAATTACTAGTTTCATACAACAAATGTAAAGACACCGTTCCTATCTACCTTCAGATTAATGGAGCCATGATGCCCATAGAAGCTTCATAGAAAATACTCAATGTTTGTCTTCCTGAGTGTACCAGTAATATAATTTGAATAGTATATAACATTTAGTGAATAAGTAGGTCTTCTGTTCCAAGCTGCATTTCATTTTAGGACCACCATTATCAGCTTTTAGAAATGATCACCTAAGTAAATCATTGAAGTTTAATATTTAAAGTTGAATAAAAGCTTGCAATGCCTAGAATATTCCTTATCCTTTTTACTCAGTGAGCACTTTATTGGGCTGTAACTAATGCATTGAAAGATATACATTAAATCTATTTATTAAAACTTGATATATACATATATTTGAGAACATAAAAAGGAAATAATTAAACAGTCCATTATAAACTTATTATTTTCAATATAATTTTTCTGAACCAATATACAAACTACAATATAAACTTTTTTTAACATGGACAAATGAAAATAAAAAGAATAAAAACCATCATTTTGATTCATGTTCTTTATCCACATTTAATAATTGTATTAGACAAATGAATATGTCATTTTTAAAATCAATCATAGATTACAAAATGAACTGGCTGATATAGTTTGTTAAAATACTAGAGCCACAACACCTGAAACAATTTATATTCTTATGGCAATATAACATGAAGAATGAAATTTGAATAAAGGCAGGAGGAACAATATAAATTTCATTTAATCAAATGGATCTTCAACATTACTGTATGTAATATAGTGAAATGACCATGCTTTTCTTTAAACAAAACTTCAATGAGATATTTTTAAAAGAATTCAGGAAGACTATTTAGATTTTTTTTTTTTTTTTTAAAAAAAGATAATTAGTTTTATGTCTATGGAGATTCTCAATTATCCTCTGGTCATGATTGTCTATAAGAAGAAATGATTGTCTATAAAGAAATGAAATGTTTTCAAACAAAAAACCAAAAAAGTCTAGTTGCATTTTGGGGAAAGCACTTTTGTGAGATAATTACCTTTAGATTTTTCTACTTCATCTTACACTGCTTTATTTCTAATTCAAATTCTGTTCAGAACTGATATCTGTACTATACAATAAAATACATATTTCAATAAATTTATTTCTAAGTAGATATTGTTAACCTCAAGGAGTGTTTGCTTATGTTCCAATAAGTCACATTGTGTCTGATAAGATTCACTAGACTATTTCCTTAGTTGTACATTTTGATAGTCATCTAAAAATAATTACAAAAAACTTTTTGCAGACAATATGCAGGACATTACACCATTTCTTATACTAGTGTAAAGAGCGAACTTCACTACCTAATACTATGATATTATGCATTGAAATTACATCAAATATATTTCCATAAAGCAAAAAACACACAAGAAATATGTTGTGCTGATACACATACTATTCAATAAGTAATAGGAGGCTTTGTGACAGTTCTGTTGTGATGCACTTATGCAGAAATGGTAACAGTTGATGAAAAGAGGAATTTAAGGTAAGAAAAAAATATCCTACTAATTGCCCATGGGTATTTATCTTTATTTAAATTTGGTTTAGGGTCTAGTCTTACACAATGTAAAATTTAGGTTTTGAACAAATGTGAATTCTAGAAGGTAATAAGCTTATAAATGCCTACAACAGCTCTAACCCTAATGAAGGAGCCTTATACTTGTTTTGAGTTGCCTATCTAAAAGGTAGCAATATGATTATGAAGAATCAATTAGTAGGATATTACTATTTAGAAGGATTGTGCTATGTTTCAGATACTATTCCCCAAAGATACTTCAAAGTTTGGAGCAAGTGCAGGTCATAAAGACTATAAATGTTTAAATCAGCCATGTTTTTTTTTTTTTTTAACAAGAATGTACAACAACTGCAGAAGATATCCACGTGAACACAGAAAAAGACAGCTGCTTTACAGAGCTTCAGATAGGTATTATGCTTATGCTCCCATCTACGTCAAAGCACCTTTTTGGAATGAAATCTGTTAGATATATTTCCCTCCTTTTACCAGTTTGACAATTAATATAAAATGTACAAACTGTAGGCTAAACAGCAATGCAACTAAAATACAGATAAATGTCAAATATTAACATTAACAGTTAACAACAAGGTGGAAGAAAAGTGTTTTTACTAAATTTCTAAATACTAGGATAGGGGTTTTCAAACTTGGCCCTTTTATGACTTGTGCACTTCAACTCCCAGAATTCCTCAGCCAGCATGCTTGGCTGAGGAATTCTGGGAGTTGGAGTCCACAAGTCATAAAAGAGCCAAGTTTGAAGACCACTGTACTAGGAGATCACATTCAGTTAATACATTTAGGTCAAGTAAAGTCCTTAGCTATAGATTCTGCCTCCTCATTTCCCTTCAGCTGTGAAATCTGGTAGTGGCATATCAAATCCAGCTTTTCCTTTCAGCCAAAAAGTCCTTTGCTGTCCTTTACCCTAGCAAACAACAAAAATAAAGCTCTTTTACATAACAGCAAAAGCAAAGCTATTCATATGTGGTTGGTATCAATACCCATAATTGCAGAATGTTGCCTAGAACAGTGGTCTCCAACCTTTATGGTTTGGCGGAGAGGGGACTGGTGAGTAGCCGACTGGTGCGCACAATTCGGCCAGCCACTCACATGGCCCAATTCCTAATAGGCCATGGCCTTTTAGTGGAGCGCAATCTGGGTGTTGGGGACCCCTGGCTTAGAAGATTGGTAGCTTTTTAGAATGAATTAGCATTTAGCATGATTAAAAGGGTTCCTGCAAGGAAAGCATAATGAAGAAGAAATGGAAAAAATGGAATTCTGGGTCTGCCACTTCTAAGTATCTCAATCTTTCTTCATAACAAGACTGCTTTTGAAAAGCCATTTAATATTTCCGGTTTACAATCCTTTCTCTAACATTTATTTTAGATCCTCATTGTTTAAATGGCCCAAAAAAGTGTCAACATCTGGCAATCTTTGTCTGATTTCACAAAAATGCTAAGGTGGGTCAAACCTAGTTAGTTGAGTGAGACCCAGGTTTCTAGGCTACATTAAAGAAACAAAGAACCAAGCCAAAGTTAACAAAAACTTTACTATCTCTCAAGCAAAGCTCATCTTGAATGCATGCATATTTTTGTACTAAAAAAGCATAATAGTAATGTAGTGGATGCTCAAAGTATTGACCAATCTATGAATGGCTGTAATGTCAAAGCCCTGAGATAGGGATGGGCAATAAGACATATTTTTGTGTTGCTTCAGTTCCCATTGTCTTTCAGTTTTAGCAATGCTGACTAGCTCTGATGAGAGCTGGAGTTTAATAGTATCCCAAAATTTATACACAACATTTAATTAAAGGGAGGATTAGCCAGAATATATTGTATTCTGGTTTGCTAAATATTCTTTTAATAATTTATTCTTCTAACCCATGGGTATCAAACTTGATCATGTCATGTGACATATCGTGACGTACCACAATTTTTTTGGCTTTGACGCATCCAGCCCACTACCAGTTTGACACTCCTGTTCTAACCTACTCACCTCTTTTCAGCTAGAGTATTCTATGGAAGGCATACCTTTATTCTTATAGTTCCTCTTTCTTGTAAATTATAACCACCAATTCTTTGAAGAGCATTTGCTGTGGTATTAGAAACATGGATTTGCAGAGCTAAGAAATTCAGAGAGAAACAGCTATTATGTATTTTTATTAAAGTTTATAAACACACAAAAAAGAAAAAGTACATAGAAAAAGAAAAAATAATAATAAAAATATATTAAAAAATTATTCCCTCTCCATCAAGACAAATACAGACTTCAGTCATTTATCCCCATCTTCAGTCTGCCATAGCTTCCCTTAAAATGCACTAATGAAAAGTTTTTGAAAGTATTCTGCTTTAAACAGTTTAGTCTAACAACATTTCCCTCTGTCTATTATATAAACTCTTAATTACAAATTAGGGTCCATCTGTCAAGCTGATTGCAATTCAGGTGATCATCATATTTAAGAATTAATTTGAAGTCCTCTTTTTTTCTAATAATGAGCAACCAGATGTTTTTTCTACCTGTCATAGCTGTCATTCTGTTGTGTTGCATCTTTTCCTAACTTGACATCAGCAACAGCAGGAGATGGAGAGATTGGAATGGGAGTGATTGAAAGGTTGGGTTTGAAGCAGAGCCAGCCATGATTGTTAGGAGCACCAATCAAGCACAAAGTCAGCAAAAGGAATTTGGAGATGGGAAAGGTGTGAACGCAGGATCCATTTCCAAAACAACCTGAGAACTTTTAATTGGAAATTGACTGATGAAAGAGGCATGGCCAGGGGAAAGGGGAAAGTTAATTGCATTGTTTTCATGCCAAGCCAACAGTTTCTGCCTGTTCTAATCGTAACTGCTTTGTTTTCAGCAAAATATACTCTTGGATCAAAAAATGAACCAGGAGTCTTTCTATGCTAATTAAACAGCTGGGATGGATAACACTACCTAAGCATGAAGATACAGTAATATTCTTCCTTTGCAACTTTTCAGCAATATACTTATGATTACCTGTTACTACTGTGCACTGATTTCTGAAAACAGGATGCACTAATAAAATGGTATATAGATGGTTTACATCAGCCTTTTATTTTGTCTCTAAGAAATGATAACATACGTAAGCTGGTACTTTCCATCCGTGAAGCTGTGTTCACAGTGTCTCCAAAAAGACAATACCGTGGTCTTGTGATGCCTACTACACCTGCAACAACAGGGCCTAGAATGACAAATATTAAGAATTACTTCAGCCACATACAAAAGATGTACAAGATTCTGTCATGCTTTATTTCTTACTGAAATAAATAAAATTTGGATTTTAGGGCATCTGATCCGAATATTGGAATAAGTAGATTTTACATATATATTTTTCCCAACTATGGTGACTTTTGAATGCTCTTATTTCTAAAGTATAGTATTTATTGAAGAAATAATTTTCCTAGCTATAAGAGCCAAAGTTGTATAACTTAAGAAAATGGATCAGGTTAACCATCTTTGCACTATAGTCAACTACTACATAGCTAGTATGAGGATTAAAATATGAGTCAATGTCAATCCAATTAAAAATCCATTTAATCTAATATCTTGTTTTTCCAGCAGAAGATACTTTTTATTTTGTTCAGAAATTCTTTTCTGGAAAAAAATGTGAATGGTTCACGCAAGTATAATGCAAAGAATGTCCTGATGCATTCCTTATATAATGCTAGTAAAGTTGTTTTGGTAATATGGCACATGGATTAAATACTGCATATAAATATTTATATCCTTAATACTACAGCATCAGATACACATAATCACAACATTCTGGTTATGTATCATGGAGATTATTCCTTTGAGATTTGTGTACAGATTTGAATATGTAGAGCTCTGAATATATAAAGAATACCAGCAGACATCTGGAAGTAGGATGGCAAGAAGAATACAGTCTCACTACCATCCCTCAGTTAGTGGTGGACACATCATACAAAGACATATTATGGCTTGTTTGATTTTTGTCTTGGCTTGTTATGTAAATACAACAGTTAATTGCAGTTAATAAAGCATGGATTATAACCAACTTCAGTTCATTATAAAGTAGTTAAACCATAACTTAATATGTTATATATGATTTCCATGCTAGAATAGAGTGGAATAGAATAGAGCAGAACAGAATAGAATCAGAGGTAACAAGTGACCAGATTAATTCTCAAGCATTAAATGTAATGTTCTAATTTATTTTATATTGTGACCATCATATATTTTCAGGATGGGTTCTAGGCATATATTTCAGGATGGGTTCTAGGATTGATTTAAAAGCTGTAATGTCTTTCTAAAACAGACAGAAAAAAATGAATTTTTACACTGTATCATTTCATATCCTATAAACAAACATCCTGATTGATCAATAATAAATTAAAACCAATAAAAGAAGCAATTTTTCTTAGTTCATCAAAGATCCCTATCTTAAAGGAAGTTTTGCAATGGTGGGGCAGATATAAGAGTGTAGGCTTAGGTCTAAAGGACACTTCCAACTCAGTCTATCTGAAATAAATCAGAAAGAATAATAAATTGCAAGTGTTTGCTGATTCTGTGCCAATAAGCAGTATGTGATATGATAAATTCATTTCCACAAAAGGTCAATTCAGTTAAGATCTGAAAGTCCAAAGAGATGTATGCTATTTACCTGTATGAATTCCAATTCGTACCCTTAATTTCTCATTAGGTAAGTGCCTGATTTTGAATGATATAATTGCACTGAGAAAATGCAAAGACATTGTGGCAATTTCTTCGACATGCTTTGCCCCATTGGGAATGGGGAGGCCACTAGCCACCATATAGGCATCTCCAATAGTTTCAACCTAGAAACAAAAAAGGCCATCATTTGTACTTGAATATAGATGAAATTCAGTTCCTAAAAGGGTGAAAGTAAGACATGGTTTTGGAAGGTTTGAGTCTTCATATGTCAATAGACTTACAGAATTTACAGCATACAAAAATGGTTAAGCAAAAGGAATCTCATGTCCCTTGTGTCTTAATTATCTCCACAGCTCTTTTCAGACAAAGATATATGGCAAATTATGGATTTTTTTCATGCCTACTGACAGGAATGATGCAAATATTCTTTCTTCAGTAAATTTTTTCCTACCTTGTAGACATCGTATATTTGAATGATGTTATCAAATAGACTATACAGGTCATTAAGGAGAGTGACAACTTGCAGGGGAGAGCTGACAGAGCATAACCTAGTGAAGCTGACGATATCTGAGAAGAAAATGGAGACTGATTCAAAGCTTTCAGGTTCCACTGATTTTCCAGCAACAAGTTGTTCTCCTATAAAACTGGAACATAAATGGGTGAGAGATAAATTCTGCATCTATTCAAGACTCTTAAAATCATAAAAACTGTACAAGGTATATACAATTTATCATCCTTAAAACAAGATAATTCTTGATTCTTCAAATGAAAGATTGGAGTAATTTACCACAGTATGCAGTTGAGACATAGCTTTACAATACAGCAATAATGTTATTTGTTTCAAAAATATGTGTACTGTAAAAGTAAGGATTTCCACCTGCAAATCCGATAAATTAACCTAAATGAGGTTTATTGGAAAGAAACAGTCATGTTCCAGCACAGGACTATTATCTACCAATTGACTTTCAAAGGAAGTCTCTTTGTATGCTCTATTGTGGTGGCAATTTATTTTTATCATTCTAGTGCTTTTATAATGCAACCAGGTTAAGAGGATGGAGGAGGTTGGTGGATGTTGGTACATCACTGTAGCAGGATCACAATATATCTGGTCTTAGTTTGTTTAACTACCAATGCTCTTCCCAGGAACCATATGCCAAAAGTAAGGAAAGGGGAATTAGTCAAAACCGAATTAGACAAAATCGAACAAATAGTTGGATGAAACCAAATTAAATTTGGATGGGTATCCTCTTGATCTTTGTGCACTTCTTTTCTTTTTCTCCCTTTTCTTTTTTGTCATTCAGTAGATTTTTGAGAGCTTCGTATCAAAATAACTATAGGAGGCATTGAAATTAGACCAAGGACTACATGAAAGTAAATTGTGTGCTTTGAGTTGCTCATCGTTTTCTAGAAAAAAAGCACTGGTCACAATTCACTGGAGATCTCGGCTGAAAGTTTATTATTAAGATTTTAAGTAATTTGGTTTTTTAGAGCAAATTAAACTGCTAAACAGCAACATGGTTCAGATTCAGATTTAATGACATTAATTTTGAGCCATGAATATCTAAATCCTTTATAAAAAATATGAAGTATTAGAATTACCATTTCCCTTTTGTAAGTAAGTTGCCATTATCACTGCCTTATTCCAAGGTATTTTTGACACTTAATTCTAGGGGCACTTAATTCTTAATAATTAAAACTATGGCAACTCCATTCTAACATAATGCCAAATCAGTAAATGAAAACAACCTATGCATTGAAACAAAATGAAAAGACAACCTGAGCTTGAATATTTCTGTTTCTTTTTGCCCTAGGAACCTTAGAAAAAGAAGTTTTCATTTCTAATATGTAAGAAATAAGCACTGTCTGATTCTGTTGCAATGTATTCTGCACAAAACAAACTTTCATTATAAAGATGTATCCAAACTGTTTCATGTTCTAGTGAAATTGAAGTGAGTTGAGGTAGTGACTGAACTAGTTATCTTACATTCAGTGAATCATAAATACAACCAATTTAATTTAGATCCAGCTCTACTATTCCAAATCATAGTTTGTTTTTATTCTGCTATTTTATTTATGGGAAATTATAGTATTGTACCTGCAAATTAGAATGCTTTAGTTTAAATCAGACATGTGAAACTCGCGATGTCACGTGATGTTGCACGATATATCGGAGCTTTTTCTCCATTGCCAGCAATGGGGTGGGTGCGGTTTCCTGGTGACATGTCCGGCCCGCAGGCCGGCAGTTTGACACCCCTGGTTTAAATGAAAAAGCCAAATAAAAGTTTATAGCAGTGGTCCCCAACCTTTTGGGAATCAGGGACCCAAGAGGCTTTTCCACGGACCAGAGGGGCCGGGTTTCATGTGCAGATTACATCCCATGAATGGGGCTTTGCTTATTCGCATGGCCCGATTTCTGGCATGCTGCAGCCTGGTGCTGGTCCATGGACCGGGGGTTGGGGCCCCCTGGTTTATAGCAAATGAATGTACTAAGTATAGGATTCTTTAGGATAAAGATGGTGTCTACCAATGCATTTGTACTTTCATCCCATCCTCATGCACCTCAGACCTCCAGGTAAAGATTGCTCTGTGATCTATACTTTTTCATTATTAAAGAAAAAAAGAGCTGGAATTGTAACAAAAAACACTCTACAATACATTGAGAATCAATTTAGCTTGGGGCTGGACCTATTGTGCAAGATGAAAACAAGTAGACAATCTACTCAGAAATAAAGGAGAAAATAAAATGATAGATTTCCCTTACCTAGGTAGCATGGCTGATAAAAGCGTTTCAGTTTTCTTTTTTTCTGCCATTAATAGGGTCGTTCTTGCTTCAACTACTTCTTCCAGATGATTTGCATATTTTTCCAGTTTATTAACCATGTTGTCTAAGATACTGAAGTGGCTTTTAGAAGTATTCAAAAAGCAAATATTGAATGAAACTTACTTTACCATTCTATAAAAGTGTCGTGTAGGAGAATGTGCTGTTGCTTCTGCTCTATACATTAAACATCTCTTTATTCTGTATGATTCTTAAAGAATTGAAAGTGCCCTGATAACCACAACAATAATTAATTAAAACTACTGGAAAAAAAAACCAGTATCATCAATACATTTCGTTAAAACTACTAGAACTTTTCATTAGTTTTAACTAAATGTATTGATAATACTGTTTTTTTAATAGCTTACTAACCTAAGGATCATATAATAGTTTATAATATTGTCCAAATTAATATTTATTGTGTACACCTTCTGACATAGGAGGTTCATCTTCCAATGTCATATTGTTTAGCTTTTTGGTAATGTCCTTTGGATTTTCTTGGCAAGGATACTGGAGTAGATTGCCATTATTGAAAGAGTGTGTCCAAAGATGGCTAAATATCCATGATTAAATATCCATTATTATTTATTATTAAGTACTGATTAATAATTATTAATAATGGATACTTACATATATAGCTATATTTTGACAGGCTTTCAATATTAGAAAGTCTGGTTACAAAACCTCTGAATAATCTGGTTACTGGTTACAAAACCTCTGAATAATCATTTTAAGAAAACAAAAATAACAAACTCTTGTATTCCTCTTTATAAATAACTTCATTTCCTGATCTGAGGGAGGCAAGCATGTGAGAATGCTGAGCTATATATGTATCTTTCTTTTATTATGTATTTCGTATCTTCATTAAGAAAGCAACACCTTAAGATCTGAAATATCTTCCTCGTCAGTCTCAAATAAAGAATAATGGTGAACAGAGGAGAAAATTTACCCATCAGGGCTGGTGTCTCTTAGTGCTGTCTTTATCTCCGAGAATGTTGGCCTCTTTTCTGGGTTTTCATCCCAACATGCCTTCAAAAGTTCAGTTACCTTGAAATTGCATTTGTCTACTGAAAGCGAGGGTCTCAGTGGAACAGAAGACTTAGGATCCTTGATAGTTTTTATTATTTCTGGAATTAATGAACAGAGCAAGATTTCAAAATATTACACATTTTGCTTTTCATCTAATATCAAACCATAAATCATAATTTCATAAACTGTAATAACTTGTTGTACATTGCCCGGAGGCATTTGTTTGTGAGATGGGTGGCCATATAAACGTGACAAATAAATGAATAACACATTGCATTAAGTTAAAACCAAGCAAATTGCAATTATAACTTAGCACAGGTTTAGGAAGTGACAAATCTGAGATCTGGTATCTACTGTAAAACCTCAGCCTGACAGTTTCTAAATCCATGCTAAGCCATAATACTAGTTGGTTGGCTTTGGCTTACTATAATTTGTGGATCCAGTTTTGTAGATCAGATATGCATTTGAATGATACAGACTCAAAAAAGAAAGCAACTAATTTTCTTTAATGCAATTTGAGTTTTTCTCTTTCAAAAAATAAGCATGAAATGGGACTGGAATGCTTAGGTAGGATTTGTAAAGAAACCAGGCCTGAATGTCCTATAATTTTCAATAATATGTACATCTCATTTTAAATGTTTTTTATTATTTAAAACAATCAAATCCCCTTTAACATAGCTCCAAATTTTGTTGCTGAAATTTAGTACCACGATGGCCATATTCGAGCAAGCAAATTTTCAGACTGTTTATGAAGTGGGGAGGGGGGGAGAGATTGCCTTTCAAAAACAATCCCCCTCTCTTTACATATAGAAATATAATGGAAAAATATATACCAGCACTGAACTGAATGATGTCATAGCAACCCTGGGAAAAGCATTGCATATGTTGTATTTGTGATCAACACTTCCCAGAGCTTAGAAAACAGATGCATATAGATAAGAACCACATCAATGTGGGAGAGAGTTGTTTAATTATTTAATGGACGTTTGGTTGCATCCATAGCAGGCAAAAATTTATTGAAGAGATACTGAAGAGATTCAGATTATTCTAAATAAAGAATTGACAAGCAGTGACTTATTAAACAAATTCTAAAACAATCTAATATGTAGAAGAGAAAAAGGATTGGTACAGGGCAATAATTTATCAGAAGAAATATATGTAGGGAAAGAGATAAAAGACAGAAACAAGCCCAATTGAGATACTTTGTGTATATGTATACTTGGCTTTGAAATATGATTGTCCTTATGGAAAAATAGAACTATGTCTGAACTGACTGGTTCAGGTTAGGGGACTGGAGGCTAAAACATATAAGGAACGGTTGCTGGAATTGGATATGTCTAGTTTAATGAAGAGAAGGATGAGGGGGGACATGATAGCAGTGTTCCAATATCTCAGGGGCTGCCACAAAGAAGCTATTTTCCAAAGCACTTGAAGGCAGGACAAGAAGCAAGAGATGGAAACTAATCAAGGAGAGAAGCAACCTAGAACTAAGGAGAAACTTCCTGACAGAACAATTAACCAGTGAAACAACCTGCCTCCAAAAGCAGTGAATGCTTCAATACTGGAAGTTTTTAAGAAGAGACTGGACAGCCATTTGTCTGAAATGGTATAGGGCACTGATGGCGAACCTATGGCATGGATGCCAGAGGCGGCACTCAGAGCCCTCTCTGTGGGCACATGTGCCGTTGCCCCAGTCCTAGGCCTTCAGCTGGGTTTTTATAAAACCTTTTTGCTTTAGGCCTCCGCTGCTGTGTACAAAAAAAAATAAGGTTCAATCAATCAGTCAATTTCAACTTCTCGCGGTAAAAAAAAAGGTCTTGCAAAGTTGGAATTGATTGATTGAACTTTTTAGTCCCATCCAGTCAGCTGTTACTACTGCAGCCACACCCACCCAATGGGCCACACCCACCCAATGGGCCACACCCACCCAGCACCCGTCAATGCATAAGTGGGTTGGGGTTGCAGTTTGGTCACTCAGTCTCTAAAAGGTTCGCCATCACTGGTATAGGGTTACCTGCCTGAGCAGGGGGTTGGACTTGATGACCTCCAAGGTCCCTTCCACCATCATCATCATCATCATCATCATTATTATTATTATCTCAAAATCTGACACAGGCTTTAGTGTAGGGATGCATACCATTCTTTTAAAAATCTTAAACATATTGTGTCTATTAGTTAGCAGACATATATCAGTAATACTTCCCAAGAACTTTTGGATGACATGCTCTGCAAATTGTCCTCCTCCTCCTCCAATGCATATATACATATAAACAGATTGTAAATGTTTGTCTGTATATGTGTCTAAACAAATTTTTCTACCTATCAATGTTGCAGAACAAATTTCACAATTTCTCACAATAAGGAGAAAAAAAAGAGAACCTTCTGCACTCCTATTTTGATCTTGAAATGGACCATCTTCATGATTATATATCAATTCTCTCATAATAATAGCAAAACTGTAAACATCACCCTTCTGGGTGCCATGAAATGGATACTCTCCCATTCTAAGAAATTCAGGAGCTGTCCAGTATAAATCTGCAAACAAACAAAAAAGGACAGATTAATATGATGTGGATATTTAGAGCTCTCGTTTCAAATACTAAAGCAGCCTTTTTAATATTTCATGTTTTACCCCAAGTCTGAAAAAATGTGGGATAGCTTAGTGACGTTTAGGAATAACTCTTTATTATTATTGCTTATTTCTGCAATAATAAATAATTTAATTATATAGCAATTGTAAGATTATTGAGTACTGTTTTGCAATATTTTGTAAAGTAAAAATCTATGGGTACATAAGCTGTACTTTAGTCCAAAGAATGGATCTGGAATTTCACATTGGAATTTCTCAGGCATTCAGTTTATCTTTTGGTGTTTTTTACATGCCCGTATGAAAGAGCATTGAGTTGTGTCATCCACAGCAAGTAGTGTCTGCTTTCATTACATTTTATAGTCTGAATGATAAGGGTAATGTCTAATTTATCCCTGTGGAAAACTGGGAGGGTAAAAGTAATGCATAGTATTCTATACCATAGAGCAGGGGTCCCCAAGTGAAGCCCCATACATGGGATGCAGGCAGCACAAGAAACCACACTCCCTCCAGTCCACAGAAAAACCTTTATCCATGGAACCAGTCCCTAGTGCCCAAAAGGTTGAGGGGGAGTCGCTGCCATTGAAAACAGATTATGCAACACAGTGATCAAACAAGGGAGATATCTGCTTACTGCACATGATGACCTCAATATGTTTTTTTCAAAATATTTAAATACTGAGATGTTACAAACTAAGTGCTTAGATGGTTGATGTTCTTTAGACTCCTAATTATATAGGACTCTTACCAGCATAGTTTGTCTCCTCTTCTGATATTATTTTAGATTTTCTTCTGTATTTGAGTTCCCATAAGCCAAAGTCACACAGCTTAATTTGCATGCGACTATCTACCAGGCAGTTTGTAGGCTTTAAGTTTCCATGAGATTTCAGAGGGCTGTTGTGAATGAAGAACATACCCTGAAAAAAACATACAGAGTGTATGTTTGTGAGAGAGAAAGAGAAGGAATACAGAAATATAAAGATATTAGTATGATAGGGAGAATAAACTACTAATAGTTGTATGATACTACAGCAATCAGTAGATTACACCAAACAAAGGAAGTTAGCAATATATAATATTCACCATGAACAGCAACAGCAAGATTTCAGTTTTTGATTATCCTTAAACATAATATAGTCTATTATAGCTTTGGTTGTAGATTATTGTTTTTCCAGTATTGCTAGCCTAATCTGTTTCTGAGATCAAAATTAGAAATAAATATATAGATATTTGTCTAGAAATATCTCGGTTTTTATAACTCTTTTAGCATATCCCAGGTTTATATATATATAAATTTTAAATATCCAAATGCAGAGCAAGAATAAAAATTTCATTTATTAAAAATATAACTCAACCCAATAATAGTTAACCCAAGGGAAATAACCTTTTTCCTTTATTTTCTTTGTTCTTAGAATTAGGATCTGAAGTAAGTATAGAATTAAAACCTACAGCCATTCTTTCCCATTTCTACATCTACACCTGTGCACCTGTGCGCACACAAAGAAAAAGAGTAATACTACTACAGCTGCTACATAACCATGACAAGAACAGAGATAATGTGTTCTCTGGTTTTATTTCGTATTCATTTGTTATACTAATCAGCAGTTTTCAGATTGTCCTTATAATACAAAATGATTCTTCTGCTCCATACTTACATTGACTATGTCATAGGCAAAAGAGATTTTGAAAATCCAATCCAGTTCAATAGCAGAATGTAACAAAACATCCTAGAAAAAGAATCAGCACAAGAATCTTATGGGTTGGATTTTTTTTTTTTTGGGTGGATGGATTCCTGATTTGTTAATGCAGTTTATTATTAAGCTACTCCATGTGCTTTTCTATATAAGCTCTCAATGTTTTTAAGCATGCTCTACATGATTTATTTATATCAGTTCATTAGAATGTATTTTACTGATCAGAATTTCAAAATGTTTACAATACATTTGAAAACTAAGAACACAGTCTAAGTCTGTGGTGGCGAACCTATGGCACGGGTGCCATAAGTGGTTCTTAGAGCCCTCTTTGTGGGCATGCGTGCCATCGCCCCAGTCCTTGGCCTTCAGCTGGGTTTTATAAAACCTTTTTGCTTTAGGCCTCCACCACCATGTACAAAAAAAAAAAGGTTCAATCAATCAGTCAATTTCAACTTGTTGCGGGAAAAAAAAGATCTTGCAAAGTTGGAATTGATTGATTGAACTTTTTAATCCCACCCAATCTGCCATTACCACCGCAGCCACACCCACCCAATGGGCCACACTCACCGAATGGCCACACCCACCTGGCACCCGACGATGCATACGTGGGTTTTGGGTTGCAGTTTGGCCACTCGGTCTGTAAAAGGTTCGCTATCACTGGTCTAAGTTATAACTTTATTCTTGCATACAGCACTTTGCTGTTGCTCAGCTTAGGGCATTTCCATCAATTTGTAATATCTCATGATGGCAACAGAAAATAAATCTTATAATCTCCTTTAAGATCTCAGAGCACTGGACTGAGAACAAGAGAAAAATATAATCCTACTCCATTTCACCTAGTTATCTATACAGGAAATTAATAATTAAAAGATTGATGGGAAGATTGGAGTATAAAGTTTAGCCATACAGTATATGTTAATGTCTCAATTTGTCCTACTCAACAATGACAGTTTTATTCTGATTGAGCTTATTATCATAATTTCCTTGCAGAAATACCAAACATAAGACACTAGCACAGGGGTGTTAAACTGCTGGCCCACGGCCCGGATGCGTCATGGCTAAACCATGCCACCCCATTGCCGGCACGTGATGTTGCAAGTTTGACACCACTGCTCTAGTAGACCACAGAGAAAACTCGCTGATGTGATACCTTGCAGGGGTCAATAATTTTTTATTTATCCCTAATATACAGAGTCTAGGACTTTAGTTTTTGATTTCTGCTCTTGTCTATCAAATGCCAGTATGGTAAAATGTCACTTGAAAACTGGTTGAGACACAATTATTATAGCCTGGAAAATCAATGCTAATAAAAGAGTTTAAATCAGATGTTGATTCTACATATCTAAATTTGTGCCTCCACAGCATCCCTGTTTCCAAAGGCAGGGGCATATGTGACTTACACCCCAACATCTAGATATGTTATTTATTATATAGAGTTATATATCTATGCATCAATTTATATTCTGTATTTAGGGCAATCTCATTTTTGGAGTGGCATATGATTTTCTCCTTATTCTGGCAGCCAGACAAGAGGTTTAACTTTCTTTTATCTTGTTTCTGTTCATATGACAGAGCTAACATATATTATCATCACTTTGACCCAATTAGATATGTCATACAAAAATTCCACAGTGTTATATATGGAAAAGAGTTATAGCACAGGTGTCAATTCCACAGTGTTATATATGGAAAAGAGTTATAGCACAGTTATAGCATACGTGTCATGACATATCGTGACTTTTTTTGCATTGCCAGAACTGAGGTGGGCACGGCCTCCATATGATGAAACCGGTCCATGGACCGGCAGTTTGACACCCCTGATTTATAGACTTGATATTAGCCAAAAGGTCACCTCCCTCCCACAAGATTAGCAGGAATGAACAAGGGGAAATCCTCGATATGCTGGAAATGTGAAGAGACCATTGGGAATTACTACCACATGTAGTGGCAATGCCCAAAGGCACAAAAATTTTGGAACTTATTAAAGAAATGGCTGGAAGAAAATTTGCTATTAGATATAGAGGCCAAACCAGAATTTTTTTATTGGGAATTATAGAAAGAAAATATAAGAAAGATACAAATTATTTACTACCGCATATAGTAACAATGGCACGAATAGCCTTCGCTCAAAAATGGAAAGAGAAAGATACTCCAACCAAAGAGGAAATATTACTGAAAATTTTCAGTTGCGCTGAAATGGATAGACTTACATTGGAACTCAAGGATAAAAGTGAAACTAAGTACTACAAAATCTGGGAACAATTTTATGATTGGATAGACAATAAGAGGGTAGCCAAGACAAATGTATAGTGTTGGAATAAAATATAGATTATAGACAAATGTATATTTAAAAAATAAATAGATAGATGAGTACTAATACTACTGTAAAATGTCGGAAGATATATGGAACCAGTGACATCATATCTATGTCCAATGTGTTTTTAATTTTGTATTATTAATAAAAATTTAAAAAAAGATATTAGCCAAAAGGTAAGTATTTCATAATATGAAATATATAAAACGGACCATTTTTAAAAAATACTGTATAATTAATCCTTAGCCATTTTTTGTGACATAATGCTTACTTTTAGGCTTCCTTTCTTGCAATAATGCATTACAGTGCAGATATTTGGAACTTCTAGACATATCCCATAGAAGACCACCAGATTTTCATGTCTCAATTCTTTCATCTGTAGTAAATAAAAATTGATTAGTGCTTATCAATTCTTAATTTCTTCTTCACTGACCCCAGCCTATATCTACATCTACTTCTATAGGAAGTCAATCAATCTTGATAGACATATGACTCTGGTTTCGAATGGGATTGTGTTTCCTGAAGGACCATATTCACAGCATTAGTTATCAAGAAAACTTGGTTATCAAGAATACTTACCAAATAAGATTTCAATATACCAGCTTATCAGTCTTATCGATGTTTTACCAAAATTGTCACTGACATTGTAAAATAATTTTTTTCCATTGTAATGGGAACAAAAATCTGTATTTTAATTCTTTTTTACATCAGAGAAGAAGATAATTTGGATATGAAGATTTTAAAGTTAAAAAAATCATTGTAACTATGGATAATTAGGTTGAGCAACAGTAGACGTTACTAGAGGAAATCTTGCTAGCAGAATGCTCCCTTGCCAAGAGGATGCTGAGCTGAAGGAGATGAGAATTGGTCATTTGAGTAAAAGGAGAAGATAGTAATGTAGACAAGCTACTACGAACTCCCGTAATGTTGCTGTTCTTACTTTCAAATAATCTATCACAAAAGTGCCTAGCACCTCTAATAATTCAAGGTGCAGTATTTAATTTTGCATGACTTCATTAAAACCATTGAGGTTTTAAGAGTAAATTTCAAAATTAAATCATAGAGCAGTGACCTAGGTAGTGATACCTAATTGTAGTAGGAAGTCGTATATTACTAACCCAGTTTACCCTGGGTTCAAGTTTGAAATTCAACTGTAGAATCTGAAGATTTAAAAAAAACACAGATTTCAACAGAGGATTTTAAAAGGATTAACAAATAGACACACCATTTGAATCTCTTCAAGAATTGATGATTTCCAAACCAAGGCATCTGCTTGGTTATCAATGAACTTGATAGCGACAAGAAAACCCTGAAACAAAAGCAAAAATGGGCAAACAAAAGGTTAAAAAAAGAAACACTTTTTTTTTGCTTTAACATAGAAACCATTTTGGAATAGCAGCACTGTCTTGGTTCTCCTTCTTCCTGAAAGGTCAGTTTCAGAAGCTGCTGATGGGAAAATAAAAATTCCATTATGGAGTGCACAATGGATATCTCGTCTAACAGCTTCTTCTCATCATCTATATGAAACTACTAGGGGAGTCCTATGTTGGCGCAAACAATATGCTGATGATGCTCTGTTAGACATCTCACTCCCAGGTTGAGCAGGTGATGTTGTGGAAGTGCTCACCCAATGCCTGAAGGCCTTCATGATCTGGATGGGAAAGAACAGGTTAACTTAATCCCTGCAAGACAAACTGATTTGGGAGTTGAGGATCTGTATTTATAAAAGCTACTGTATTTTCTCCAAATATAAAATTTGTAATCAGAAGTGACTAGAAAATGCAATATTTTTATATAAAAGCATAGCGGAAATGAGTGGCAAAACTATTGCTTAGTAATTATAAGTATGGTCACCTTCTCAAGAGAAATTCAAATTTATGAGAATTAAAGAGAAGCTCAATATACCTAAAGAATTAATAGAAATAACTGGTTAAATTGAAGACAGCATTAACTACAGGTAATACTTGCTTAATGACTGGTTGTTTAACAACTGTTCAAAGTTATGATAGCCTTGGAAAGGATGCCTTTAAAGTACTTCCTACTAGGGCAGTGTTTCCCAAACTTGACAATTTTAAGGCATATGGACTTCAACTCCCAGAATTCCACAGCCAGCATTGCTGGCTGTGGAATTCTGGGAGTTGAAGTCCTCATGCCTTAAAATTGTCAAGTTTGGGAAACACTGTACTAGGGTATCATAAAATATTTTGCTGTTCCCTGCCCATGGCCATGTTACCACATTTCAAGAACTCAACAATTTGTTTCATTTAGGACCAACTGCAGCAACCCACAGTCACGTGACCATAAATTTATTTCTTTTTAAAAAAAACTATTATTCAGCTGAAAACACCCATTGGATTTGCTGGATGCATTTAACGACCAGTTTCTCTTAGTAACCACATGGGTCACTTAAAAACTCGCTTTAAGATCGTGGTAAATATGGTTGTAAAATTGAGTTAGGTCACATAGTGACTGGCTTAATTATCATCCTGGCTTATGATCAAAATCCTAGGCTGAATTGTGGTTGTAAATTGAGAACTACCTATATACGGATACTTGGAAGTTGCAGGAGAATCCTAAAAAATATTAAAATGCAAGGATGGAACCAAACAAATTTAAACTTTTCTAAAGTTCTTAAATTCTTAAATTTTCAAAAATATATTTTACAAGTCTATTAGATGTAAAATGTTTCATGGAATAAAATGTGTCCTGGGAAGAATCAACAGGGATTGAATAATCATTTTAAAAAGATACTTCTTGACTTGCAACTATAATTGGGACCAGAACTGTTGCTAAGTGATGTATTTATTAAGTGAGTCATGCCCAACTTTACAAGGGTTTTTTTTTTGCTATAGTTAAACAAATCATACACTTATTAATGAAATCTGCCTTTGTCCATTGATTTTTCTTGCCAGAAACTTCCTGGGAAAGTCCTAAATAGTGATCATGTGACCCTGGGATAATGCAACCATATAAATACATGCTGGTTGCCAAGTATTCAAATTCTGATCATTTCATCACAGAGATACCGCATCAGTTGTAAGTGCGAGGACTAGTCTTAAGTCAGCTTTTTCAATGTTATCATAACTTTGTATGACCATTAAACAAATGATTGTAAATCAAGGACTCCCTGTACAATTATGCAAATGAAGAAAGTTTCTTTAATTCATAAAAGCATCTGCATCTTTTCTTACGTTTATAAAACTGTTTGGAAAGAAATTCTAGGTCATTTCCCTTCACTGTGTTTCATAAACTGCCCAGAGAGTTTTAGGTGAGATGGGCAAGGTAGAAATACAATAAAAGTATAAATAATCTGTCTATGCACAGCCACTAAAATATTTTGCAGAAGCATATTATCCAGTAATTTTGACTTGGATGGTATACAGTTCTACACTGGATTTACAATAGTCTAAGAATTTCATTTAATTCCAATTTCTACAAAGCTAATCAAATAAAGATGTCACCTTCCCAATCCTATCTAGTATCCCATGAATTATTCTGTATTTTATATTGCTGGGCAGCTTGTGCCCTGTAAATAATGGAAATACTATTAAATGCAACAGAAATTAAAGAGATATACTTTTATTTCATAATGCATGCACTATAGTTGGGATATCTATATACATACCTGATACAATCCTACTGTAGTGAAAAAATCTTCTTTTTCTTGCTTGTCTTTCAGTGAAGAATAATTACTGCTGGAGATAAACAAATGAGCCCCAACATTTTCTGTTTCTTCCGGTTCTGATGTGTTTGCTTGAGGCAGATCATATTTTTCCTTTCAAAGTGAATATAAAATGTTATATTAGGGATTCTGATGTCAAAACAAATCTTCCATTAGCATCAAAAAAGTTACTCTTCTAGACAATGCCAAGGGCTTTGTGATCACAGAAGAAAATCTAATACATCCTATTAAGATAAAAAGTCTTAATTTTGGAAAACCCAAAACAATGTTATTGAGTCTTCTATCCCATGATATTAGAAACTTCTGTTTTCTTGCCACTAGAAAAAAGAAATAAGACTACCAATGATTTCTCTAAATACCTTTCATTCCAATTCATTTAATGGATGGCATCAGTAAGAATAATTAGAATGGACCTCATATTTCTGTTTCAGTTTTAGTTTAATATGTGTTAATTTTTCCCTCACTTTGTGTCCAATAGTTGTGTTGGACAATGGTTCCCCACCATTCATCATCACAGTATGTAATAGTTTACCTTATTATCATTAAGAAGAATGATATCCTCATAGTTAATTCTCCATCCAGTATCATTGATTTGCTTTTGAAGGTGGCCTTTATAGATCTTCGTAAATATTGTCACACCTATGGTCCCCAATATGGTTATTATCAGGAGAATGATCATAACAGTCAGAGCTGTACAAAAAATAGTACAAGTCATTATGGAATAGGAAGAATGAGCTCAGTCTTGGTGAAGCATGCCATCTGATACAAAAATTGTGAATTATGTTTTAGGACAGCATATCTATCAAACAATTACAAAAAGAGGTTTGTCCTTATTATAAACAGAATTTAGAATTTATCAAGGCAATGAGAATTATGGATGAATGTAAGCTAGGAATAGCTTAAAGAACTTTGGAAGAACAAAACTGATTTGCAGCAATGGTTTTAGTTAACATTATGTTAATCAATATTTTCCAGTTGTTACTGAATTCCAGTTCCTACCAGCTTCAATTAGTACAGCCAATTGTCATAATTCAACATTATTCGATGCTATCCCAATCAGATGCAATTTAATTTTTAATATTAGCCATCTTTCTTTTTAAAAATATAGAAATTTAATTTAATGGTCTGATCTACAATAAAATCTAGAATAGGATTCAGATACATAGTATAAGGTGCAAGTAAACATCACACTCACTGGTGGCTTGAATTTTACAGTACTCATTGTGAAATCCACAAACTGGTTTGTCTTTAGGTATTTCTCCATTTGACCAACCAATATAATTAATTTCTACAGTGGGACTGAAGATAATAAGAGGAGATAAAGGTTAACAATAAAGGTCAGTTATATTTTTATTATTTAAATCTAAATATTCTAAACTTGTTGTAAATCAACCCATACTTTAAAAAGTAACTTATTTATATATTATTTTTTCTGTAACAATATTTTTTCTTTTTTATATTGTTTAATAAAATGTGTATGTATCATAATTCAAATAGAATGGGATTCATCAGCATACTGGTGCCATTACATTCCAGCAAATGCTCCATTAAATACTAAACATATAGAAGGCAGGAGAAAGAGAGGAGAAGGAGATACAGAGGGAGGGAGAAGGAGAGGGAGAGGGAGGGAGGGAAGGAGAGAAAGAGAGAGTGAGAGAGAGAGAGAGAGAGAGAGAGAGAGAGGTCAAGTAGTTAAGGCACAAGGCTAGAAAGTGGGAGGCTGTCCCATCTTAGCCATGAAAGTCAACTAGGTGAATTTGGGCCCATCACTCTCTCTCAGTACAACAAATATCATCCAACCAGTTTGGGTGAGAGCCATTTAATGCTTGGAGAACACCAGAAAATGATAGGGTACAGATAGGACTGGATAGTTGAGAAAATATCTCATAAACCAATGTCAAGCAACTTTCTTATTATTACCAAGAAAACTATATGAACATGTTCATGAGGTCACCTATGTTATTGCTCCTGCCTATATGGACATGTTCATGAGCTCAGTTTGAAAGAGACTTGAACAGATACTGTATACATGAACTCATAGAAAAAGATACCCATAAAAAGCAAGGGTCAGATTGCTCTAACTATAAAAAGAACTATGCTTCTGATTGAAATTGGCCTAAATTCATTCTCCATAAACAAATACAATAAGCTACTCCTTCAATAGATGAATAAAAAAACTATATATTGTACTTGACAGATTAAATCTTTATGTATAATATTTTCATGCTATATGAAAGATTAAATTACAGAGTATTTATGAAATATATATAGGCAGAAATACCTTAATGTCCTTCTGTAATGATCAAAATTAAGAACAGGAATGAAGTGAGTAGAATTTTCAGATTCCTGAAGATCATACACAGAATAATCCATTTTTCTCTCACCCAGTTCATCAATGTACACAGGACCAGTGATGCCTAAATAACAAAGACATTCAAGATACAGATGCTTAAACATTTCTTATATACCTTATTTTTCCTGGGACAATTCTGAATTTTCAAAATCCGAGAATAGTATTAATCAATAAAGTGATCAGAAAAATGAATTGTTTTATTACTTCTGAATTTAGAAACAGTCTGATTACAAACAGCATGTGAATAGTGAGAAAAGATCTCTTGCCAGATCAGATTTTTCCCATTTTGCCTTTGGCTCTGCTCACATTTGATATTCAGTACCTCAACTGGGCAATATGGCTATAAAAATATTCCCATTCTTGTTTACATGGAGATCCATTAGAAATTATTTTAGTTTCAGATATGATTTCCACATGACAATTACCCATGATATACTTACGTGCAGTTTACTCAGCCTACCTTCTGGGTTTGCATGAGATACTATAAACTAAACTCATAACCCAGGCATGTCAAACTGCCGGCCTGCGGGCCGGATGCATCATAGCGAAACTGCATCCACTCTATTGCCGGCACTGGCAAAAAAGTCATGATACATCGCAACACGTCACGTGATGTTGCACGTTTGACATCCCTGACATAGACCATTCCAGCTTCTTTGTATTTTTGTATTTTGGGTAACCACAGCCAAAGTTTTTGCTATATTATTGGCCCTGCCAACTTAAAATGACTGTTGTCTTAACTCACAAGCTTACCATACAGAGGGGTTTTATTATAGCCTTTTAAAGTGTTGATAAATGCCCTTCCATCAAGGAAATCCTTTTTTTCTTCTGACATTTCTTTTACAGTTGATGCATAAAGCAAAACAGCATCATGAAGGTACGCAGCATAAGAATTTAACTGAAAAAAGATACAATACATGAAAGGTTTGAATTTCTGGGGGAAAATAAGGGGGCATATCCCCCTTAAAATTGTCTGCTTGCAAATTAGACTTGAGACCAGGATTTCTGCTTCTTTAAGATGATAGAAGAAGGAGTGTCAACAGTAACCTTGCCCTAACTTGCAGAAACCATACTATTGCAATTTTAGCAGTTTATTACAAATTCTTTCCCCAGCTTTAGATACATATCCCAATTTACAATTCCCAAAATGGCAAATATTTGGGCTTCAGTTAACCCAATGAAATAGTTTGGCTAAAGAAATGCAAATAGTGCCAGTGGGTAAGATGGTGGCATATGTTAGTTAACTGACATTACTTAGCATGTCATTCTAAGATAGAGTCACTGATTTTAAAACTGATGAAAAGAACAATAGCTACCAGATTGTTACTTGCAAAGAATATTGAATTTGTATCATTTTTTAACTCTGATTATTTCACCACAGCATGATTTTTAATTTCACAAAGTCCTTAGCTCAGTCTCTTCCAACTTGATCCCCACTAAATTTAGGGGCATTTCAAGCTCACATTACTACAAGAGAAGCTTAAGTGCAAACAACTTAAAACCATTAGGTTGGAGATGAATTAGATAATTAACGGTTATGTAATAGATTTGGCAGCATTGACACCAAGTCAAGTCATGGGAGTAACAAAAAATTCCTTTAAGGTTTATTCCTAATAAGGACATTTTCAATTAATACAGTAAATATTACCTCTTCTTGTAAAGAAAATAAACTGTAAGAAGGCTGCTTTTCCTTTAGGGTATCATGGAGCTCCTTCATGAAATCAGAGTAGTTCTTATATTGTCTGTAAGATCTAAGAGCTATTATAAAAACAGACTGGTAAGCATCTAAGATGCTGATGTTTTTATGATTCCAAGTCTCTTCCGAAAAGTAGGCCTGGAAGAGAAGAGAGAGAAATAGTGAGTTCTAGTAAAATATGCACAATTCAGTTGGTGTGTCTCACTGTGTGAATGTGAAGGTCAGTAAAATATACCTCACAAGTAAGTTATTGGTATTTGAAAGTTTATGGAAGGGTAGGAGGAAAGAGGTCTGCTGGCATTTTAGAAGGCAGAATGTTCCATAGTGCAGGGGCTAGTATGGAAAAGGCATGGTTCCTGGCAATATTTAGGAAGGGACTAGGAGTGTTCCCCCTTTATTTGACCTGGTAAGATGGGCATATGTCTTAGGAAGGAGCAGTCCTGCAGATAACTTGGCCCTGTGCCATTTAGAGCTTTAAAGGTGATGACCAGCATCTTGAATTACATCCAGAAAAAAACTAAACATCATTGCATCTCATGCACAAATGAGCTGGGGAAACATAGGGATTGCCATTACTGTGCCTGCTGCTGCATTCTGGACCAACTGAAGTTTCTGGGTAGTCTTCAAGGGCAGCTCCATATGGAATACATTGCTGTGATCCAAATGGAGATGACCAAAACATGAGTGTTTATGAGCAAGGCCTCTCCATTGCAGAAATGGTCCAATTAGGTCACTAGACAAACCTGTGCAAAGGCACCCCTAGCCACTGCTGCCACTTTCTTGAGCAGGAACCATGAGTCCAGCAGCCTTGTTCATGGTGACCAAGACCTATGGTGGGTCTTGATAACCATTCTTGGTAGCTGATAGATAAAGTTTATTGGATTTGTGCTACATTGAACTTCAGCTATGTAAGTTCTATGGAACTGACTAGTCCTGGTTTTGCATGTTATCTGGAAGGAGTGAGACCTGTTAGTGTTTAATGATTGGGTCCTTGGGATGTGAGTATGTCATCTTCTGTTTTAAATCCATACCCGTTCTGGCTAGCCAAGGCCTCCACAGAGGAAGCATAGGGGAAGATCCATGCAGTAATAAATGCATTCTTGAGAGAAAGGATGGTTGCATCTCCTCCTCCTTAAGAAGCTATCTATCTCTGGACTTGATCCTCTCAAGTCACAGGATCAAAATCCACAACCATTTGTCTTACTAGAGTTGACTATTCTCCTCCATCCAGACACTTGAGCATCGCTTGATTGTCCAGGAAGCTGAGGTAAACCAAATTAATATCAGCATACTGATGACATTGCACACCAAGCTGAAGTGTAACCTCCCCAGCAGCTCACTGTAAATGTTAAACAAAAATGCTCTCACCCAATCAACACTAACTGGAACTTCCCCAAAGGAAGAAAAAACACTCAGAACAGTGTCAGAACAGCTATTTAGCCACTCAGACCCAGAGTGGGCAGGATGGATGCACTATCCTATTTCAAAAGTCACTGACATACATCACCAATACTGCCTCAGTGCTAGCTAGCCCTGCTGTATTCAGACTGGAAAGGGGTCCAGATAATTCTCCAGATCCTTTGGAACTGAAAGCTAGTCAACTTGTCCACCACTTTTGGAGACAAGAGAAAATTGTGCAGTTCTGTTAGATCCAGAGATAGCTTCCCCTTTGGGAAAGTTCCAGTTAGTGTTGATTGGGTGAGAGCATTTTTGTCTAACATTTACAGTGAGCTGCTGGGGAGGTTACACTTCAGCTTGGTGTGCAATGTCATTAATATGGTGATATTAATTTGGCTTACCTCAGCTCCCTGGACAATCAAGCAAGCTCAAGTGTCTGGATGGAGAAGAATAGTCAACTCTAGTAAGACAAATTGGCTGTGGATTTTGATCCTGTGACTTGAGATTTTCCTTCTTTGGTTTAGAATAAGAGGGCAGTTATGGCGGAATCTGGCATTGAGTTGTAGGGAGGAGGAATAAAGTGATAAATCAGCACTGAATCATTGACATGCAGGAGGAGATCCAGAAAAGATCTTCCCAATTCTTCACAGGATTTATCTGATAATTATGTAGAATGTGTTTTAGTCTGGCAAGATTCCTATAGGTGCGCAGCAATAAAGAAACTACTTTGTAATAGTCATCCTGTTGTTCTTGGTTTCTCCACACCTGACAGAGATTGCACAATGTGGGAGTTCTCGTGGACCATATCACTCCTCATCAAATAGAACTGATATAGATAGGTCATCCTTCGGACATCTTCATCTTGAATGCTTATTGCACACTAAGCACATAATATTACTGGATTAAGAGGTCCTGCTTTCTGTCTAATAACTGGTCTGGACTTTGTTCTAGTAACTTGTCTGGACTATTATAATGTGTTCTATCAAAAATTGGTCCAGAATGCAAGGACAAAAAAGGAATTATTTTAATTGAGACTTAATCATTTAAGTTAATCCTCTCCATGTGTCATGTTTACACCACCTATAGGTCTATCCTTTTCCAAAATATCACTTACATAAAAGTAATTTGAACCTGGAATGCTTTTGGTTGGTAAACATAGGGGATTTTTGTTTAAAACAGTTATTTAACATATTATTTAAATCCTCACATGATGAATTGGGTTGTTGCTCTTGCCCAGTTATGGAATCTAAAAATGTTTTAAACATGATAATAAAATACCCATTACTTACTGACTGTTGCAGAACAAAGAACACATATGGTCCGTTTGTCATACCTAATTCTTTGGCCTGTAACAAAATGGATCTTGCATCCAAAGGATTGCAGATTAAAACAATAACTGCAAAGAAATTGAAACAATTAGTTGTCTCTTATCTAAAGTTAATGCAGAAGAATATGGAAGCTCGAAGCAACCAAATATCAACTTAACACATTACAAAAAGTCAAAGCAATTTATTTATTACTATTCACTGCACAAAGAAGTATAGATTTGATGTGTATGTATCTTATTAAATAATACAAAGATCTTTGCAATAGTAAATATAAAAGATCTTTGCAATAGTAAATATAAAAGTGTTTTAAATATGTTTCATAGAGACAGTTTGGAAGAGAAAGATGCTGGGAAAAAGAGTCTGTAGTCAGCATGAAAATGGAAGAGAAAATAGACAGCAATGAGCCTGTGGCTTTTGGCAAAGGTGGGACTGAGATGGCAGGAATGAATCTGCTACTGAATGAAAACTATCAGTGTAGGGATTATAGATTTCTCTTTTTTTCTTTTGTGGGTACTTAAAAAGTCTCAAAAGTTGAATGAATCTGTATTATGTATATCTATATCATCTATATCTATATCTATCTATATAACATCTATATCAGCGGTTCTCAACCTATGGGTCGCGACCCCATTTGGGGTCGAACGACCATTTTACAGGGGTTGCCAAACAACGCAATCCGCCATTTCCCCCCCAGGGGGCGCCGCCGCGCATGTGCGCCACGCATGTGGGCGGCGGCGCGCATGCGCACCGCGCATCCGTGTGACGGGGTCGCCGTCACACAAAGTTTGAGAACCGCTGATCTATATCTTTATACAGTATCTATATCTATCTATATCCATATTATATCTGTGTATGTTTATGCTTTTCAAAGACCTGAATTTATATTCTTTTAAACATTTTTAGCGTTTTAATGCATTTCCAGGGATGCAGATATATAAAATGGTACTTTGATGTACCAAGTAGTTAGCTCCATTGAAATCAATGTAATTGCTCATCTAAAGAATTAAACTTTAAATGAATAATATGATTCATTGCAATTATGGGGTTTATTCCTTATACTCCAGAGCAAACAGTGATACCTCACGTCTTTAAATATTTCTAAATAAATTCAAGAAAAATCATCTACCATATGTGTCCTTTAGTTATCATCTACCATATGTGTCCTTTAGTTAGTAGGAGTAATATTAAGAGCCAAATATGTAAATATTGCTATTCTATATGATCCAAATATATTTTGAAATTCTGCTTCCCAATGTTATGCATTATATTAATAATTCTGATTACAAATGGAGGGACTTAATCATGTCACTCCCTCGAATTCTTTTAAAAATGATAATCAAGAAGATTAAGTATTTTTATCTTATTTTATTCTAAAGAGCTCAGGTATTTTTGTAATTTATACTAATTAAATTTTATTTTCTTCTGAAACTTACTTCTGGCAAGAGATGATATATAAGTCAGTTTCTCCTTATGGAGGCTTTGATTGTTTGTGTTGTATCTCACATTTGCTGTGATGGTTATATTGACTTTGAGTTGGTTTTCTATACTTGTCCATAATTCCTCTGTTTCACCCCATGTAAATGCATCATATGAATTTCCAAACAGACCAACATATTTCCACCCAAAATACTGAAGTGTTGTATGCAGTACTTCTCCTATCAGGTGCACTGGTGAAACAAGGTTGATGTAAGTGTCATAAAAAAATAAGTTCCTCAGCCTTCTTGTTTGGCCAACAAACCCAAACATAGGAATATTCCATTGAGAAGCAAGCAATCCTGTAACCTAGGTAAGAAAAAATAGTAATAATTGCATTAGTTAATAACACTTAATAACTATAGATAACTTTGTTTACTCTGGATTACTATCTATGAAGGCCCCAAAACTGCTCCACCCCCGCCCCGCCCACCCACAGGGCCACCTACTGCCTCCATGGCCTGCCACAGCAGATTGCACAGGTGGCTCTTTAGCTCCATGGTGGCCATGCCCTCTGCCTGCACCCTGCAGCATCATCTGCACACAATGGGGTGCGAGGGCGGAGTCTTGTCCCTGCTGCCCGGCTGCCATGTCCTTGGCTGCACTACTCTGCGCGGGCCACGCCTGGGGGCAACTCTCCTCCAGGGGGGCTGCTGGTGAGGAGGAGGCCGCGGGGGGAGGTGGGGCTGGGGTGAAAGCGCACATGCCCACAGAGAGGGCTCTGCATGCTTAAGAAATGTCAACTTGATCCCATTTGGATTTTACAAAGAAATTAACCAATGTTATTGAGGTTCCAGGAAGATCCAAAGAACTCTCTGAAAGTTAAAAATTATCAAGGGAGATATACGAAAATCAACCTTGGACTGTCATTTTATTATTTTATGTTTTGTTTGAAATCAATATATTTTGTATTATAGCCAGTAAAATCAACTTGTTTTTTTATTCACTATTAATGCTTCTCTCTCTTGCGTGCTGTCTCAGTCTATATAAATAATTAACCCTCTGTTCAGGTTCAATATTTGATGAAATACTAAGACTAGCATGCCCACTTGGCATCTCTGCTTTGCAAGTTGAAAAGCTTGGAAGGACTGTCTCCCCGTAGTTTCTGCTTGGCTGCTACAAGTATCTTCAAATAAACAGTGCCATTTGTGAGGATTCTGAAAGCATGCCTTTTCTGTTACCTCTGAGAACCAAGTGGCTTTATGGAATTTAACGGATTCTGAAAAGCCTTAAAAAATCTGTTTTCTACTGTTTGGACTATGGTGAGTGGACACCCATATTGTATTTTTGTATATATTGTTCTATGTTGTCTGGCTTGATTCCATATCTTATTAATCATCTATCTTTAATTTATTTTGTTTATCATGTCTTACTCCTTTTCTAAATTTTATATAATGTTGCTTATCCCAAAAAAGAGTTATATGATGGAAATATATGCATATATGAAAAGAAGAAATATACTAATGAAAGTTGCTTCGGAATTCTTAAATGAGTCAAGAACATTCATCAGTAATGTTCTCAAATGGTATACAGAAGAAGAACTAAAAGCTACAAGTCCTAGAATTATGAAAATCAGATTACATTAAGGAACCACCAAAGTGATTGCAAGATAATTACATAAGATAATTAAGCAAAAAAAGATATGAGCACATAGTATTTGGAGTTAAATTGACTAGAAAAATTGGTTTCTATAGAATGGAATATTGCCTTTTGAATGCCTCACATGAAGTTGCTGAGGATTGGTGGATTATTTTTTTTACTTAAATCAGTTTTTTAAAGAAGTTCCTACAGTGACAAATCATATAAAAAAGCATCCAAAAACAGAAGTTCAGCAAACAGCCTTCACATGGATGTCTTACAGTCAGAGAAACATCTACCTGCAAGGGAACACCTGGACTTGCAAGTGCTGGAAAAAAAATACACAGAAACTGGATGTTTTCCTCAAATGCCTCACCTTCAGTTCTTTAACCAGGAATTATAAATATTTGTCTGCATCATTAAAAGAAAGAAGTCAGTGATCCAAGGAAGCTTAAACCTATTTTGTTCACTTCTATGATAAAGAGTTGATGACGGTTTGTTATTTCACTTCACATTACTCTGGTCCCATAATCACACTTTCACAGTCAGCAGAGATTGCAGGATCAATATTTCACAATTTAATTTCTTTTAAGTGGGAAGTGTAGTTGTGGTTTTTAGATGACTTATCTAACTTGGACTCCTTGTATCTTCTAACTAACTCTGGCCAGCTCCCAATGAAGCTAATATGTTGATACATCCTAATACTATGTTTGTAGTGATTATAGATACAAAATAAATGTTCCAATAGCCCAATTAGAGATGAAATATTATAAATGGAACAAAGCCCTTCCCTATCAATATTATCCCTATCCCTCTTTCATCATCACAGAACAGGTAAATAAGTCAGTAACTATTTTTGTAAAACAAAGAAGAGTCTAATCTTTATGAATGAATAAATGAGCAACTGAAAGGATGATAAAGAAGCTAAAAATAACAGCCTTGATAATGTTCAATGTAAAATAGGCCAGACAGAAACTCTATTCATGGATCTTGCCTGTTTCTTGAATTTGCCTAACCCCCAAAGGTTGGTAATTCTTAGATACAGACTGAACCATATTTTCTCCAAATTGTAGTTTCATGGGAGACACTATATTTAAATGACTTGGTTGGCATCTCATGCAAAATGTAATGTAACTGATATATAATTTTCTGGATGTGGTGTTTCTAGATAATAAAGGCCATTCATTTCTTAGAATATCAGTCATTTCTTTTTGTATTCATATTTTCTGTTAGCTTTTACTGTCTAGGTTGAAACATCACCTGAGAGTTATAAAAGAATGAAAATTCTCTGCAATATCTTATGATGTACCATGGGAAAGCTATGTTTTAAGGTAGCTATCTATTTGTTGACAGCTGTCTATGCATGTAGGAGGATCAGATAAAAGAAAAACAAGTCCCAGGAAAGTCACTTTTTTTTTTTACTTTAGAACACTTGTTATTACAATTGCAACCTCAGCATTGCCAGGAGAAGGTGACGTGAACTGTCTTCTCAGGAAAAGAAGGATTTTTATCAGAAACTGGTGAGTGACTGATGGACAAAATATATGGGGCTCTTCATGGAAGAGTATGATTTCTTTCTTTGGTGGAAATCCATGTTGCCAAGACAAAAATTGCTAAAGAAAAGGAAACCCAGTAGATGAATGTGTGTGCATATTAAAACTATAACAATATGGTGTGGTGAAAACTTCACAGCTTATTTTAGAGCAAAACTTCAGTCCTGCATAGGAGTGCATTTCAAACAACTGTGATAAATATCTGTATCTGTATCTGTATCTATCTATCTATCTATCTATCTATCTATCTAACTATCTTCCTTGGACTATGTAATTTTTGATGTGAAATAATCTGACAACTGGATATTAATAACAGGGATCCACTTTCTTTTCCATGTTGGATTATGGAAAGTTCTAATATGCATCCTTGTTTTCATTTGTTAACAGCCTTGTATGATTTCACTGCCTAATGATGTTGTATGTTAGAACTTGCTACTCTGAGTTTTGTAATTCATGTTTGTGTTATCAGTGACACCTGATATAGACCTGAATATAATTGTTATTATTGCTATCCTTCCTGTTCATCTATTCACATTCTTCAAAATATTTTCAAATTTTTATATGTAATTGTATTAAAGATTTTTACTACAATAGTACAAGTAAATGCAAACTAAACTCAGTCAGAAGAATAGAAATAATAAAAAGGGCAGAGTAAGAAAAAGAAATGTGTGTGTGTGTGTGTGTGTGTGTGTGTGTGAGTATGTGTGACTTCTGATCTTCATCACAAGTATAAATGCACTGAATAGCTCTTTATCCTCTGTAATATCTCTTCTTCCCATAGTCCATCCCTTCTCTATAGACAAATCCATATATCATCAACTTTTCACTCCTGGTGTCAGCAAAAAGTCTGTAAAGAGTTAGCAGACATTTATACAAACATGTCTTATTTTTAACCTTGGTCAAATAAACCAACTTTATATTTCTTTTATTCTAACATTCTTTTTTAATTCATTTAAGATGTTATTGCAGGATTTGGTCTTTCCTCAAATTTTCTTTTCCCCTATCCCAGTGTTTCTCAACCTTGAAAATTTTAAGGCATGTGGACTTCAACTCCCAGAATTCCACAGCCAGCAATGCTGGCTGTGGAATTCTGGGAATTGAAGTCCACATGCCTTAAAATTGTCAAGGTTGAGAAACACTGCCCTATCCCAAAGGCTTCCTTGAGGTTTAGCAAACCTCTTTAACTTTTCAAAGCTTTAACCAACATCTGTAGTATATCCAATGGAAATCGATCACTGATCATTTTTTTGCTTGTCATTTCTGTTTTCACTATAGACACCCTCTCTGTTTTATAATTCATACTTTTACCCCAAATATGGAATACAAAGTTATAAAAAGTGAAGGTTTTTTTTATTTCTGGTCCTAATATTTCTGCATTAAGCAAAATTTGTTTCATATCTGTCATTCCTTCAATAACATCTTTTGGACAAAATCAATCGATAGAAGCAGACATCACTGCTAACATTCTAAGTACTAATTACTGCATCTTCCTTTGAAAAGCTCCTGTAGTATTTTAAACATTATAATGTTTTTTTTAATTATTTTGTAAGACCCTGTATTAACCAAAAATCAAAGGCAAATTTACACTTTTTTCCTCTTTTCCTTTTCTGTCTGGAAACTTTAGTCCCTTCTATTGTTTTCTAATTTTTGAAATCATAAAGTGTCCAATATCTGTTATGGCTTAAGACAGACAAAACAACTTGAAAATCTGTTTATTTTACAGAATTATTTCCAAAATTGCATAGTAAAAATTTCAATATTCCCAATTAGTCTGGATCTTTGCTTATAATTTTCTTAGATCAAAATATTATTTAGTGTCAGGCACAAAAGACCAGCTCCACATATGAAAATTCAATTAAACTGATGCACAGGAATCATCTCAGCTAGTGGTTGGCAGCTGCCTAGAGTTAGATAAGAGTCAACAACACTCAGGAGGGGATTGGACTTGGTTAACTTGTGGCTATTTAGGGATTCTAGGATGATCTCCCTTTTCATTTCATCCCCAGGTTCTACCATCCTTTCTCTTACATTTAACTTTTTGCCATTTATTTTCAGTTCTTTAAATTCTTACACTTATGGTAAATTTTCTTTTGTATAAAGTAAGCTCAACATGTGACTTTTCAAACATATTCCGTAGATTTCTAATATCTTCAAGAGAGTTAAATAGGTAATTTCTAA